TATGATATGTGTAATAAGTGTAAAAAAAAACCGTAAGATGGTGCGTTTATTGTGTCTCCCTTGTCCATTTTTTTTTTTTTTTTTTTTTTTTTTTTTATTTAACACGTTCTCTCTTTTTGTTTGGTCTTTGTTTTTAGGTGAAAACAAAAAAAAACTATTCGAATCGATACGATTTTTGAGAGAAGGTAAGAAGAATCGATTTTATAAAATGATAAATTTAATTAACGCACGCGCGCGTGTGTGTGGGAGAGACCAGAGAGAGAGATAATGATTGGATATTTACTCTTGTATAAAAACCTTAGAGTTTATTTCGTACAATATTACAATGTTTAGCATATTATATAATATATATATATATATATACACATATGAAGATATATGTAATCTGTATTATTATTATTACATAAATATAGTTTGTTACGGTAACGCTACACATCTGTTTGTCGAAGAAATGCATATAATTTATTGCGAAGACGCGTGATGTGTACACGTGAGTTGACGTCATGATTACTCTAGAAAATTAGTTGCAGTGTTTTATTTTTTTTTGCGCAATTAGCGACGTTAAAATATTAGTTCTCTTGTGCATGCACGCATAAATTATATATATTCATATAGGATTTTTTTTTTTTTTTAGAGAGAGTTTCTCGCGATACTAAACACATAAAATGTAAAAAAATATCTCGGATGATTTCTTGCGACGACGCGTTTCCAGCGATCCGATCGCAAAAAAACTAATCGAAAAAAGTCGCGCGAATACACGAATAGATTATTAAAGTAAATTATATTAATAATCTTGAAAAAAGAAAAAAAAACTTGCTCGCACGTTCACAGTCTCACTAATTAAGTAACCATCAGAAAATAATGTACGCGCGCGATATGTATGCAAATTGCGTAGTGTTTTAATTAAATTGAAAGCGCGTGTGCGTTTTTTAATGAATTAAAAGCGCGGTGGGAATTCAGCTTGGTATTTTTTCGATCGATCGTTAAAATGTTATTAAAATGCATCGCGATCTACGCATTTGCGTCGAACAACGCACGTGATGTCGACGTGTCAGCGAAACATTTTGCGATGGAAGATATCATTGAAAACAGAAAAAAATTTTTTTTTTTGCAAAGTGTTTTGCCGCAAAAGACGTGCAAAAATTCGGTTACGATTTAGCGTCAAGCGTGACTGATGTTTCTCTTGCCGGAAAGAGTCTGCAGCTGTAAAAAAAGGTGTTTACTATCATAATGATTTGTTTTTTTTTTTGTTTTTGTTTATTCTTTTTTGCAGGATATGTTTCTACTCTATTAGCGAGTCGCTAGATCGCTCTTGCATGCCTGATCATCTTCTTATCTCAAAGTCCGCCACGTCCGCTGTCAATGTACTCGAACCTCTGCGGAACACAGACGATCGTGAACTTCAAGATCATCTCAGATTCATGATTCGAAAGAATAAAACATAATTGGATTATGCGGGAAAACCAATTGTGGTGCGAAAGTATTGTACTTTTACTTTTCGGATTTGCAAGATTTGTAATTTTCATTTTACGATCATCATCATGCGTGCACCTGCATGCACGTGTTTTTTGATTTGTCGAGATATTTTGTGTTTTTTTGAAAGATGATAGAGAAAACCCTCCGTCGCCAAGAAAATTATCGAAAGATTTTTTTTAGAGGAAGTAGAAAGTTAAAAAGTTAAAGTTTATTGTATCAATAATAGACAAAGCGATTTTTGGTTCAAGCGGATTAAATCTTTGTTCGCATGCACAGGAAGATGTCAGACTTACATTGTAGGCGTATCCAGAAACTACATGTGTGCGGAGACCACTTTTTCAGACACGGATCACATTAAAAAAACAAAATCTCTAATTTTAGAAAAAGAAACCGTAATATTCAATTTTGGATTTATTGAACGACATAAATCGCAAATTATAATTGCCTAACTTAGTGCGTCTGAAAGAGAGTGGTCTCACATTTTGGTGGTGCAAAATACCTCCTTTTCCTCGGTAGCAACGGAGGCGTAAGTCTTGGCGGGCATTTCTGGTTCTTTCGCGGGACCGACCGCGTGCACGTAGACGAGCGCGCCTGCGATTCCGCCGAGAATCGGACCCACCCAGTAAAGCCAGTGATCGTGGAAGCTGTTCATCACCACCGCACTGCCCAGGGAACGCGCTGGATTCATTCCGGCGCCCGTACGCTGTACCTAATTTAACACAAATTTATCATCACGAAGTAATTACTGATTTGACAAACACGTGACGTGATTCTATATTGTTTCAAAAAATAAACAATTACTCAATATTAAAAAAAAAACAAAAAATTATTCCACATTTTATTTTTATTATTTTTTTTTAATTCTCGAAATACTTACGCCAACGATGTGGCCGACGGTGACGGCCAGGCCGATTATGAGGGGCGCGACGCCCTTGCTGTCCGGTTTAGCGGCGTCGCACGCGCCGCAAACCACCAGCACGAGGATAAACGCGAGCAAGAACTCCACTCCGAATCCTTGGACGGGGGTGATGCCTTCGGAGAGCTTCACTACGCCCAGCACAGTTTCCATCGTTTCCGGCGAGAGTGCTCTCAGTATAGCCGAGCCCGCGATGGCGCCCACGCACTGCGCCACGACGTACAGGATGCCTCTGATAATCGGCACCTGGGAAAAACAAAACCCAGAACCCGCGATCGGTCGACAATTAAACGACAAATAACGGACGAGGAAAGTTTCGAGATTAAGTGAAGATAAGATAAAGGAACGATTAATTCATTCGACCATCAGTTGATCATCAGTTGCGCCAATTGATGCGCGCACTAAATATTTAATTTCTCAACAACAAATTGTCAATTTTGTTCCTTAGATTCTGCTTTTTAAAGACAGACAATTGACCTTGCGAGATGTCGAGTTTCTCAGTCGGATGTAAATTTCGTTTTTAAAACGGAAAAAACGTTTTACAAAAACTCCAACTTAGAACGTGGAAAAAAATCTCTCGAAATTCGCGACCCCGCAAAGTCAATTAATTTTTCGACTGACTGAAACGAAAGCTTCGTTGGTCCTTACCTTGCCGACGACAATAAGACCGAATGTGACTGCCGGATTGACGTGACCGCCGGAAACGTGACCTATTCCTTGAATTACGGTCGCAACCGTCAGACCGAACGCTAAGCTGATGGCGACCACGCTTCCGGTCACCACGGAACCGCAGCCAAAGAAGTTGAGCAGCATAGTGCCGAGAAACTCTGCCAGAAAGGCGCGGGGAAGGCCGGCCTTCGTGTCGGTGAGTTCGTTAGCGCCCAGAGCGCTCTTCAGGTCCACCATCTGCGTTCGATAGGAAGGTAAGACACAGAATGAGATACGAGAGAAAACAAAAATATAAGATCGCAATGAGAATATATAAAAAACTATTTTTTTTTTAATAAAATAATTTACACACGAAATGTAACTACCGGTGTTTTTTTAGGGACAAAAACAAAAAAAGAAACAAACGTTTATACCGAACGCGCGATCTATCTCTTAGCGGTGTTTAGCGGTTCCATCGATCAACGGTTAGCGGATCTGGATCGAGGCCGCACGCGCGCGCGCGTTTTAGTCGAGTGCAGCCGCAACGAAAGCCGCGACGACGCGTCCGCAGACGACGACTGCATTACGCATGCAGATCGTTACATCCTCGCGCGGAGCGTATTCGGCTCGAATTACCTAATAATCGCGCTTGATGCTCGATCTCGTCACCTACACACGCTTTAATTAAAAACAGCAGGCTTTGTTACGCGACTCAAACTGCGAAGACGAGAAGCAGAACGAAAAGCAATTGCGTTTTTTTCAAAACCTGTTGTTCTGGAAAATTCTGGAAGAGAATATCTTCTTTTTTTTGCGAGAATCCAAGTGGACCGAGTTGTGTGGCGGTCGAAAAATCGCGCGCTTAGTAACGACGTTGTGCGAACAAGCTGATTCAACAGGTGAATCCGACGTGATCGGAGAACAATTCCGTAATCGTGAGAGAAAGAAAGAGAGAGAGAGAGAGAAGAAGGTGAGGTGATGGAAAGAAGACCGTCGCTATATCTTATATTGAAAATATTCCTTTTCTTGTTCAATTTATCGGTGCGTTTCTCCCGAACAGACGACGATTTATTTTTCTCCAACATTAAGCGCCCAACACAATCCGTCATCAGGGATGACCGACTTTTCTTCCAAAAAAGCCATCTGGCAAACGATGGATTACGTAATTACTAAAGCCAGACGTCGTTACTAAAGTCGTAAGCCTGAGATGATCCGAACACATGATGTCACGACTCGAGATTGTTCTCCTCCTACTTCGCGCGTCCGCCCGACTCTCTGTTGTAAAACTATTTGTCGTCTCTCTCTCTCTCTCACTCTCTCTCTCGCCGGTCGATTTGCTAAATTGCGCCGTGACGAAATCACGCGGATCCAAACAGAAGAGTTTCGCTCGTTGACGTGTCACGCGAACCCGCGCGATTTCGTTTCCTCTCTCTCTCTTTCGCGGTCGTCTTGATTTTTCAGACGACGACACGGTTCAACAACACGGTTCAATTAAAACGTGCGTATTCGCGTACAATTTCTAATTTCGCTTTCGGTCCGCGGGTAGCGTAATTCGCTAGATTAGCGAATTCCGGCCGGCCGGCCGGCTCGTAAAAGCGCGGCAAATAACGTTCGCACGTTAATAGCACGAACGGCAGGAAACGTCAGGAAATTCGAAGTGACGAGACTCGAGACGAATCTTTATTTTATTCGTCGTTTTTTTATTTTATTTTATTTTATTATTTTGTTTTTATCTTTTTCCGTCGGTTCGATAACCACGCGTTTCCATTAGTAATTAGAAGCGCGCGCGCGTTCTGCGGCGGAACGTGAATTCGCATGCGCGGAGCGCGTTAACAGTTCGAAACGTTTATTATTTGCATTGGCAATTCTCTCATTTAAACGCCACGGAAGCTTTACCCGTGTGCTTCACCCGTTGTTATCGCTCTCCGGTCTCGAGGAAATTTACTCGGGAAAAACAATTTTTGCTAAAAACTTCCATAGCGTGTCATTCAATTATTCAATTTGAAATTTACATAGTTTGTTGTTATACGTTTTGTTACGGCGTATACAATCAGATAATTAATTAGCTTATTGTAGTTCGCATCGCACGCGAACTGCAAAACAATTTGATTTTAAAACGAATGAAATTCAGATTTTACATTCTCTCGCGCGCGAGACGGAGACTCTCTCCATCTCTCTGTCTCTCGCTGTCTTTTTTTTTTCAAAATTAATTATTAATTTATTAATTGCGTTCACATCTCAACTCTCGCGCGCGCGGAAACGATGTCGTGCGAATGCGCGTTTAAAATCAGATCGAAAAACAAAACCTTGAAATTCTAGTGGGATAGGATCTACGTGTTCCCGTTTTTTTTTTTTTTTCGCACACACTTCCCGTCGTGATTTTTCATATATATTTTCCTATCGACGCTCCAATACCTTTTCGCACGCTTCGCTACATTCGGCAGAAAAAGTGACGCGGCCGTCCTTCGCGCAACGATTATCTCGATATCGGAGATTCTATTCCGCAGCAATAAAATCCCCTTCCCCTCCCTCTTTGCGCGCTTGCTCGCTTGCTTCTCAGGTAGAAGGTTCGCATTCGTCGATCGATTCCGCGAAAGCGCGGACGGATCGATTCGGAAGCATAAATCACTTGGCTAGATCCTCAATGGCAATTTAGCGCCAACTGTTAAAGAGAGAGAGAGAGAGAGAGAGAGGGAAAGAGAGATCGTTATCCGTATATGGTGTCCGCGGGATTTTTCCCTCCTATACTACTTGTGTTCTCTTTTTCCGTCTTCTTTCTCTCTAGCGGAGACACGATTTCTCGATCCCTTTAAAGGATCGATCGACAATCGTCCATGCCGCGGCGACGTTTCACTTTACGCCGATTGGAACGGTCTTTTTTGTTTTCGGCGTATCGTCGAGCGATTGTCGAGAATTTAATTTCCCATCTCAATCGAGCAACTTTAACGATTCTTCCTGATCCGTGATTCTCGAATAATTGCACGCGAATAAATAATTTGCGATTGGGTTAATTAGATAATTGTCTTCAGTTATCGAGGTTTTAGTTTAGTGTGTTGTTGTTGTTTTTTGTTTTTCGTAAACCGTCGCAAACCAATACCGCGATATGTACATCGATAATTTGCGCGTTCACCCAATAAAATTACATTACGCGTTGATAACGCGGGCAGTCGTGTAGCCTTCGCGAAAAATACGTGATAAAAAACGAGAATAGCTGAGATGTTCGCGAATGGCCGTCACGTATTTAGTAAGAAACGCGCATGAATCCTAAAACCTTGATTCTAACGCGATTGCAGAAAATCCAAGACTGCAGTGTGTACACATTGTGCGTTTTATACAACATCTCAAGTGATAGTAAAATAAAAAAGTGTTTCCTCAAACTGAAGAAGACACCGAAGATCCCATATAGCGGATCGAAACGTTTGTATTTTTGTTTTTTTAATCCTCGGATTAAACAAGAATCTTATCCGAACATCAGGTGTAGCTCGTTACTGCCTTCTCTTTATTTTTTTATTTAAACAACGAGCACGAAATATATAATTAAAACAAAAATCTTTTCGAACATATTTTGTTTCACATTATTTCAAATAATTTTTTTCATACATCTCTCATTTCAAAAATAATCTTCTCCTAACAATATATTTTCGCAATTATTAGTTTAAAAATATTTTCGCGTTATTAGTTTAAAAATATTTTCGCTTTTCCCGTATTTTCTTATTCCGCGTATGTATGTGCGTCCAAACAAATTGTATAAAAATGTATAAAAATAAATTACGAATAAAAAATTGTATAAAAAAAGACACGCGCAACAGAGGAGAAATAATAAACAAAAATTCGAACGAGCGGACTTACCGTGAAAATGTCACAACTAACGTCACGATCGTTTCTTTTTCTAGCTTTTTTTTTTTCGTTCTTCTCTCGACAATTTCCTCGACGACGCTATTGACGGTTGCTGTCCTCAGAATCTTCCTCAAAAACTCGGGTTCCCTCGAACCGATCCAACTCGACGAGATACGATTTTTCGAAACTTCTTCAGGAAGTTCAGAAAAGTTTCCTTCTTCTTCGGCGCGGGGAGAGAGAGAGAGAGAGAGACGTCGTCGTGCACAAGGCCGAGATGACTCCTTCAGAACCACCAAACAACAACTGTCGCAAGCTGTGGGGCTCTCGGGCCGGTCTGGTCTTACGTAGATAGGTATCCGTTCTAGTACACTACCCCGGCTGGCTGGTTGACAGCAAAGTAGTAGGGATATCGCGGTTAAAAGTGTACGCGCAAATAACGTGGATGAGCCTTGCCACACGTTACGCGCGCGGCAATACGTCGTTTTGATAAATAAACAAATTTCTCACGAAGCGCGAAAATTTTCGTTTCGCGAAGAGAAACGACCGAGAGCAACAAAATTTTGTCGCGTTTGATCGCAAAAAAAAAAAAAAAAAAATTCTCCCTCTCGACGTATCAGATCTCGGAGGGATTCATTTCAGAAGCGGAGATTGTGTTCTCGTGTGAGAAGAAACACGTGCGCGCACGTGTCTTGACGCTACGTACGAATCCTCCCGACCGTTTTGTTGTTTGAGAGAGCAACGTTAGATTTAGATTGTTCTTTCTACACCTCAAAAACCCGTTTTCTCGAGACGCTTCCTCGAGAAAACGTCTCGCGCGTCGTCGTCGTTCACATTTCGCAATTCTCTTTGACGCCGAGTGTGAGTATGAGATGCGATCTGTTTAGAAAGTTCACAATGGAAGAGGTGACACGGTTGCTTAAAATAGTCCGGAAAAAAAAAAAAAAAAAACGTTTCGTCCAAATCCTTTGAATTTATTCCGAAACGTTGTGTAAATCTGAAACGCGCGGCGAGCGAGTTTTTTTTTTCCTGAGCGGCGCGGAACGTATTTGTGATAACGAGAGAGCGCGGGTTAGTTTTTTTTCTTCTATCATAGCGCGTTCGTGAAAAATCGCGCCGTGAAATATATTTCGCTCGTGTGCGTGTGTGCGTGTATATGTATGTGCGTGCGCGTGTGCGTTTCAGATCCAACGAGGAAACACGAGGAGAAATTTGCAAATCAATATAGAATTGCAATTCTCTTCTTGAGCGAGCAGAGAGAATTCCCTCGATCGTGGCTTTTTTCAACAAACGTATAATCGGAAACGGCAATTTCCCAGTAGGAAAAGGAAAGTACGGTTTCTACGGTACTTCTTCGCGGAGTACGCTATGCATAACGAAAGGGGGGAAGCACCTGAGCGCGACGAGTCCTCTTACCAACACACCATGAATTCGACCAGCGTCGTCGTTCCAGCGTAAAAAACCCGCAATTAAAACCTCCGCAATTTATCTCCTTTTTTTTTTTTTCAATCTTTTTTTTTTGTTTCAATTTTTATGTTTTGTTTTTTAAATTGCGTTAAGTAACATTGATTCCGAAATTTGAAGTTGTGTGAGAAGACAAATAGAAGTTCACAAAAAAAACCATAAAATCAAATAATTTTCTTTCGCGGTTTCGAACCATCGGATCCAATGGTCAATTCGCGAAAACCAGCATTTGCATAACTCGCGTTAATCGTTGCCAAAATAAATGTAAATATATAAATATCGCTCGGTGCGGTTAAACACACGCATGTTATGCGTGTGCGTGTGTGTGTGTGTGTTCGTGTGTTAATATTCTTAGACGCGAATTTTGAGTCTATTATCTCGCACAATTGTGTCGTCCTCGTTTTTGTCTCGTTAAACCGAACGTCTTCTCTTTTTTTTTTTTTTTTTTTGTCTCGTTGAAATCGCACAAATCGCAAGTAATTCGGAAAGTGCGCGACGAGAGAACGTTTCGACGCACGTCAAATAGACTATCCGTCTTAAATAAATTTTGACGAGCACATAAACTTGTTAGATCGCCGGATCGCCGTTGTTTCTAAACGCGATTCCATTTCGCGCGATCATTCTTATATCCGACGATGATGAGCCTCGCGCACGCAACGCGGACGCGAAAACGGAGGAAGCGGATCTCGTGAATTATTCATCAAACTTGTAACAATTTATATACCGATGTTTCGGATAAATTAATATCGTTGCGTTTTCTTCTCTCTCGACAAATTAGTGACGCGATCACCGGTTTTTATCTCGCGCTCGCGTCTCTCTCTCTTAACTCTCTTGCTGGATCGGTAGTCGCTGACTCTCCCAATCACTTTGCGCAACTTTGTTTCCGGTAGGTGTTTGAACGCGTTATGACCGTAGAATCTTTAAAAATGTTCGAACATAAATTGAAGAGAAATATTCAACAAGTTGCTTGCAAAATGGGTTCTGGACTTGGGACGAAGGGGTCTCACACATGTGTGTGAGATCATATAAGTACGTACAACAGAGTCCGAACGATTGTCGTAGGAGCGAAAAAACGATGGCGGCTTCGAACAAAGCATTCGCACGTACCGGTCGCATGGACGTTTTGACTAGAGTAAAGGACTATAATTATAGCACGTTGAGAGAGAGAATATTGCAATTGTGCAACCATCGAATGGCGCGCGCGACGTGCCTCGAGCCGCATAATGCAAACACGACACATATATCGCGAGGAGAACACACGTATTGATGTGTATTGACGCTTTTGTTAGCCGCTAGATCGACTTACACGACGCGGCTCAGGTGTAAGTATGCACATTTTATTTATTACGTCACCGCGCCCGAAGGAGGTGTTCCTCGCAAAGAGACGCAACGCGAAAATCTTGTTAACGACGAGAGCAATAACAGAAAAAAAAAAAAGAAATATTAAAACCTGTATTTAATAAAAAAAAAAAAAAAAAAAAACAAAATCCAAGCTTGCTCGCGAAAGTGAAACTTGCTGATATTTTTTTACGAGCGCAGTTTTCCGAACTTTTCAGCAATTAAACGTTTTTTTTTTTTTTTTTTTTTAATCGTTCGCGCGAACAACACGCGAGATGATATCGAGGATAATAAAAAAAAAAAACTTGGCGACCGCGTGAGAAATCTGTATTTCCCGCCAAATTCGGTGAATCATCATCTCGCATTCTCTCCCGGTTTCCGTGAAGCGGCCGAGCGGGCCGATTGTCATCGTCATCGTCGCCGCGGAGTCATTACCGGCTCTCTTTTTCCGTGATCGCCGCAGTCAACTACCTCGTCGCTCCGTGTCCTTCTGTTTGCTTTAAAGAACGTGAGGCGCGTATTCTCTCATATCGTTTCCACATGTGTGTGTGTTTGCAAATTTCCCCCCTCCTTCCCTCCCCCACGCGAAATTTGTTCATCTCGAAAAGAACATCTGCTGTTGCAGCGACAACATGTACATATAGATATCGTCACTGCGCGCTCTATTCTCGATCGTTAATCGCCGCGATCGCAATCTATAATTGGGGTTCGTCAATTAAACCGCCGCGGCCTTCCGATTTGAATTTCCAGACGCGGCCGCGATCGAAATTTTCGGGCGCTGTTCTGTGTCAGAGATTTTACGAGAAGAGATCGAGCCGGAAAGAAAACCAGGCAGCCACGCGCACCCGAGAGCATATCAATTCTCTCTTTAATCTTCTTCAAAGAAAATTGGCGTGTGCGCGCACGGACGTAATAAATGATCGTGTTTTTTCCATTATTCTCTCCCCCACGCGGAACAAAAACCTCCATTAGACAACTATTAGATATCGCCACGTAGCCGTCTAACGGACCGTCTGATCGGAGGTTTTGTTCTGTGCGGGATCTAAACCGAGACACATGAGAGAATTAGAATTGCAACAATTGAGATCTCGCTGGAGATGTTAAATTTTTTTATTACGCGCAAAAATTAATTAAACATTTTCAAAATTAATTAAACATGCGTCGCACGTGGCAAAAATAATTTAACATTTTCTGCGAATGAAGAAACTAACGTGAAAATTTCGGCTGATCGATCGCGATCTAATCCCTTTCGCGGTATCTTATTCGCGCGCGCGCGCGCGGATTTTTCGCGTCGCGGAATCAATCGATATATCTCTTGTCAAGTGCAAGAAACTGCACAACGATGAGACGCGCGCGTTTCTCCCGCGTTTCATCGGGAGTGACTTCACCTATGCTAATTGTCGCGATTTATCTCGACAACAACACGCAACGAAACGTTTAACGATGTCCGTCAACCGACTTCAAAACGGACCGCGATCGTGAGCGGATAAAAAAATCAAAAAAAAAAAAAAAAAAAAAAAACTGATATCGATATATTATTTTATTTACTTGTATTTTAATCCCGGTGGAATTTTTTTCGTTTCTTTTCTCCTTTCGAGACTCGCGTGCCGCAAGAATTCAAACGCGATTCATCTGATTTCGCGGTATAACAATTACGCAATAATAACGTGCAGGCGATACGTACGCGGATACGTACTTGGTATGAAGTCGGATAATGTTGCTCTATTGCAAGAAATCGCTGCCGGAAGCTTGTTTTTGCTTCTGATATTGTTGCGCGCGTGTGTGTGTGTGTGACGATTCGAAGAACGCGCGGAAACGAAGGACGATACGATTTTCTGATTAAAAACCGCAGGATATAAAACGCGCGAACTTCACCGAAGCTTCCGTTTTCTCTCACCGAGCGTTTATTTATTTATTTTTTTGTTTTTTTTGTTTTGTTTTGTAATTACGTACAATTTCAATTCGTCTTGTAACATCTCCGCGCAACTGACAAGATGCGCGACATGTTTCCGCGACCCGGTGAATTCTGATTCACACTGACTCGCGCGAGTGACACAGCGCGCTACGATAAGATGAGCCTGTCGTCGCTATCCGTCCGTTATCGTTGCATCACGTACTCTATCTCCCGCGACTACGTCATATGACTCGACGAAAGTCGTGGTCAAGCAAGAGATCGTAAGCTCCAATTTTTCTTCGTTGCGAAAGTAAAAATGAAAATCGCGTCGCGATAATGAAAAAAAAAACCTGCTCTTAGGATCAGAGACAAAATCTTTTTTTTTTTTTTTATTCCCATATACAGTTCTTATAATATCACTTATAGAACTTACATAAGAGAGATGTAACACTATATCGCGTGTATTACTAAGAAACAAAAAATAACAACGGAAGTATGTTGTAACAAAAAGAATTATAGAAAAACTAAAATAATAATAAAACGATCAACAAACTGCTGTGTCGCGCACAGTCTTGACTAGCACAGTTATTAACCAGGTAATATTACACTCTAAGTGTGTTTTTTTGTGTATATATCGATTTACAATTGATATGTACACATTTATAATAAATATACGTTGAAAATTATACTTAAATATATATGCATGCATGAACAAAGATTCTCTGTCTATTGCGACCAATCTCTGACGCAATTTGTTTCGCGAATTTAATTGTTTGCCAATTGTTTGACAATTCGGAAGATCGTAGTTTTGTTGCTCGTGCCGGCGAAGATGTAATGACGGTTCGTGTGATAGAACGTTACCATCGTTTGTAATCCGTCCACCGTGTGTTGCAGTTTCATTTGGAATTTCTGAAAATAATTGAATCGCAGTTAATATTATAGATGGGAACAAAAATATTTTATATTTGTATTTTTTTTTTTTTTTTTTTTAACAGAGAAAAATTAGATACGAACTTACCCCGGCAAACATATATTCGTAAATATAAAATCGTCCACCCTGCGTTGTCACAATCGCGAACATATCGCTGGTGCCAATTTCTGCGAGAAAAAAAGTAAAGAGATTCATTTTTTTTGAGAAACGACAGCTTATAAATTAATTAAGAAATTAATCGTATAAATACATTACACTAATTAATTGTCAAAGATACAATTGAAAGTAATGATTTAATTTATTGCTTTGTGAATATATAGTCATACTATCTGTATAGAAGCACTCGATTCCGGTAACCGGGCGGACGTGAAAAATGCCTTGATAAAAGTCGAAATTCCGAGACGTAGCGTTGTACTTGTAAATATTCACGGCGTTCGTCTGAGGATTGTCCAGCAAGACGAAATGATCATTTTCCTGCGACAGACTCTGCACGTGTCGACTTCTGCTCGCGAACGTTCTCAGTTCTTCGAACTGTGTCAATGAGAAAGAAGTGAGTTTTTTTTTTTTTTTTTTCGGAGAAACAAAAATATCATTTTTCGACACAAAAGTAAGTTCAATTCAGGTTTTTACACACAAAAGTTAGGAGGCGTTAATCGTCGAACAATTGATTGATTTTACCTTTTGCGTAACGGGATCGAATCTGAATAACAAAGATTGTGAAGACGTGCCGACACAGCCGATCAAAAGTAACAACTGACTGTCGATTACGAAGATCCTAATTGACCAGGCACCGTCCGTAGGAATTTCCTGAATCAACGTCACGTTTCCCGCTGCCGAATCCAGTTTATAAACCAAGGAGTTTGTTTGATGCGTCCCGTGTGTTTTGTCGTAATACATCGCCAGGATTAAATAAACGTCGTCTGTGCGAACGAAAAAACTTTATGCATTAAACTTCGCATCTCTCCGCTTTCTATTCAAAGCGCGCTGAAACACAATAATAAAATATCACGCGCGTGTACGTACCGTCGTAAGTGAATGTCACGGCATCGTTCAGGTATCCTTCTATTTTATTAAAAGCGTACTTGGAAATATCTTCCGTCGATGAGATCGTAGTAAATTCCTCGATTCTCGTGGAAGTGCATCTCTCGCTGCTCGAAACGGTGTTCGACGTCAGTTTGACGCCGGGGAAGTTTCTCACGATCTCTCCGGGTTTTCTTCGCCACGATCGCACATCTTTGTCAGTGAGATCGATCACGGTCTCGTAGAAACACGGACAGTCGTCGTCCGGCAGATCGCAGAACTTTCCTGACTGTTCGCTGTACGCGTTCAGTCTGACCGTATTGCGCAAGTACACCACGTCGACCTTGCTGACGTTGTTGCCGGGTATCATCAGTTCTTCATTCGTCTCCAGATAAACAACAACGCTGGGCAAAGTTGGAGACACTCGCTCGATGTACAGCATGTTCTTGGTGATTGTCTTCCAATGTTCTTCCAGTTGCTGAACGGTTTCGTTCAACGCTCTTCTCGAATCGTTCACGGCCGAACGGATATTCATGCCGTTCACCAAACCGGATGTGTTCATACTTCGAACGCGAACGTCCGCCTTGAAGATCTGATGGGAAAGCAATGAGATCTCGCGTTACTAGTGCGATGAAAAGAATTGAGAATAGATCAAAAGAGAAGAAAGAGTCAACAATAGTCTTGGACACAGATGATGGATCGGATCGTCTTCAAGAACAAAATGTTACCACACAGAAAATTGCCAACTTTTTCCAAAGATGATCCAATCTTGGATCGAAACGTCAAAATAAATTAATAACAATTTTATTTTCATACATCGCACACCATCTGTGTCCAAAGCTCTCATTGGCCCTTTCATCCTTTTGGATCTATTCTTTTTTTTTAAAAAAAAAAGAATAAGAATTTACACAACTCTTCAAAATTGTACTAACAAGATCGCCAAAGATTTCGACATCCTGATCATTTTCCACACCGTCATCGTGTTCTTCTATCAAATTAACGTCGTTGATTCGTGGCGCGGTAACGTCTCCGTCGACTACCAAGACCTCTTCGAAAGTTTTCACGTCATTTATCAACTGCGGCTTGTCGGCCTTATCAAGAACAAAGTCAGACGGGAGGATATTGTTGATCCTTTTTACATTCGCATTGCCTGAAACAATCGCAAATAAATCGACGTTGAGTTCCGACATTTGCGTTCTGACATTTTTTATTATAAATTTAATGTCTCTCTCGTTGTTTTATACCTGTTACCGTAACGACGCCGTTGAAGTTCAAGTCGCACATGACGTTGTGATTTCCGCTAAGAGTTACGCGATTTCTCGCGAAGTCCGTGAAGTTTATACCGTTCAGTCTCTCGAGACACACGTCGCCCAGCACCGTGAGATCTTCGAAGATTATGTTGTCCGGCATCACGTCGTTGGAGCGCGCCGCGGATCTGATCGATGCGTCAAAATCAGCGTCGTTCACGCGAAGCTTTTCAATCGTGACGTCCGTGTGAAATATCAACGGGCCGACAATCGCGTCCTCGCGATTCTTTCTGACAATCGAGTCGTTGAACTCGAGAATATTCACGTCGTTGATATTGGCGATACCCAGGTTATCGTTTACCGTCAAACTGTTCGCGACAAAGTCGTTCTCGAAGAATTTATTTCCGGCGATTTCGACGAGCCCTTTATTGTCGATCACGGCGTCTGATATTATACTTCGAATTTGATTGATCTCGTTGAACGAACCCGTGACCGCCCAAGCGCGAACGTCCTCTGTGAAGGTCACTTTGCCGTTGATAACCTGGTCCCCGTCTTTGGTCACGGCGTTTTCCAGCAGGTAAGACACAGCGGCTGAATTGGTCGAAGACACGTCCCAGGAAAGATTCCCGTTCACTTTCAGAAAGTCGATGTTTTTCGCAGGGACGAACAAGAGACTCTCGTATAACTGTAATATAACAAAGTTGACAAGATGGCGACCAATTACAAATACAATACAAATTACAAAAATAATTGATTTTATTATTTTACAAACTTAATGCTCTTGTTAATTGTCTTTCTTTTCAATTTTTACCTCGTCCACTTGGCGTCCGTTCATCTTCGAAGTGATTACGTCGCCCTCGACGATCAAATCAGAGAACGTCACATTTCCCGCAAGCACGAAGGATGTGTCCACCCACATCAGTTCCGAAGCGTTCTTCTTGTTGATGAAATTCATTGCGACATTGTTGGAAGTGACAACGCGAGCCGAGAAGCGTCCCGGTATCATTTGATTCGTCGATTTTGACAAAACGCTGGCGATCAGATCGTCAAATTTCTGGCCTTGAAGAGACTCCAGCGTTATGTTGTGAACGATTAAGCTATCGATGTTTTTCTCCGATATCGTCACGATATCATGTTGCGTCAATTCGTGCAAGAAACTCTCGGACGATTGTCCGTTCACTTGAGCGACCGTCAGGTTCTTCACCGTCAAGTCGCCTTCAATGACGATATCATTCATATCGATCCCTAACCGATCTTTCACCTTCGTCAAAAGATCCATCTTGATTCTATTTAATTGTTCCACTTCCAAGCTTTGTACATGGAATTCCGACGTCTTCAAGATGTCCACAAACAGCAAATCCTTGACGCAAAGTCCGTTCTCGAATAAGACCTCGCGATCATTGAGAAGATGAACGTCGAGATTGTCGACGAACACTTGACGCGCGCGAATAGCGGGAATTTCTGTAATTTCCGCGTAAGTCGCTGAATTCCCATTCATGATGTCGTCTACATCGATACCGTTGAAAGTGACGGTAATAATATCCGTTGCCGTGAGTTGTTCCACGTACATTTTCTCTCGGATCGTTATCAAGTCCGTTTCGACTTGGAAAAAGCTGACATTGGGCTCGCTTTCGCGGAAGAACTCGTCGACGTAAAGATTCTCGAAATGTAAGTTGGTGAACTCAATCGGAATCTCCTTCGCGGTGGTATACAAGAAGTCGCTCTCTTCGAAACCGTTCAGATACTTCGTGTCGAGCTTGTCGATGGCGACACCCTCTTCGAACGTGATTTCCTCTGTGATCGTTTGATCGCCGGACTTCGTCCAGAAGTTGTCGAACATGTCGGTCACATTTATCGGAAGACCTTTCACATAAAGCGCCGCCGCATCGCCGATTCTGATGTTGCGAAGATGAAGATCACCCATCAATGTGACGTTCTTGTAAATCTGAAGTGGTCGCAGGTCGGATGTTAGTATCTGCGACGCATTTGCATCAACTATGAGATTCTCGGTGACACAAAGATTTGCCAGACGCACAGGAGCTGAACAAAACATACGCGAAATTTATATATATTAATATATAATTATGTGATTATTAATAATTATAATTATTAAATACAATCGCACAATTGTAATAAAGCAAATTAATATTTCTATTTACTTTTAATAATATTTTCCCGAGACTTTCGCGCAGCTTCCTCGACTGGCACCCCGTTAATCGCGTCCGCTTCCAGATTAACAATGTCCAATATCCTTATGTAGAAATCACCGAAGCTTTGATTCGTTGTTCTCGTCATGATTTGATCAGCGGGAACACCGTTCAACGTGGATGTCGAAAGATTTGTAACTTGCAGCGTGTTTACATACGTGATTGTACCTACGACAGAATTACAGTTAATCAATGAGTGTTGTGAAAAATGTTTTTATCGAGTTTTGCGCGATTAAAATAGTTAATACGTTGCTTGTACTCAACCATTAATCTTCTGAGAACGATTAACGATGAACAGATCGTTCATTAATTCATCAACAATTGTTCCGTTTAAACTCTTGATTTTCAAGTGAGGTATCGTCAGATCGGAATGCACTATAACAGTGTCGTTCGAATATTCAACGGAGCTGTTCGCGATGGCGAGTGTGATTTCTCCGTTATTTCGTAATGTCCAGTCTGTAACGAATCGATTCGGACGATTCAGACACGCAAACTCATGCAAAAATATGAAACAATTTAGAGAAAAAAATTGCTCGGTCCAACTTACATTGCCGCGGTATTCCGCAGAGCGAATCAACTTGAAGGTTCCGCACGATAAGTTCGTCCAACGGATCTGTTAAGTTTGTTCCGAGGACAAACTTTTCCTGTTGCGTGTCGTCATTCACGTTGTACACCTTCATTTGGTCGATTATCAGTTCTTCCAAATACACGTCGCCAAGTGTAACAGTGTCCTGCATCATCTTATCCAATATTTGATAAATTACTTCGGTTTTGTTCTTCAATATCAATTGTGTTTTTGCTTCGATTTCGCGGATTCTAGGAGCGAGATCGTCCAGAGTTTTCTCAATCTGACGGGGAGGCAAGACGTCTTCTTTGATCGCGATCTCGATGCTTCTCGCCGTACCAGACTTCAAGGTCAAATTGTCAAGCTTCAAGGGTTCCGGGACCGTTATATTTTTTGCAAACGGGAAGAGAAACTTGTGGGATGCCTCGGCTTCTCTTATGGCTGGCATTCTCGCGTGCAACGCCTCGATCAGATCCAACAAGCACTTGTTGTTTCCGTTTTTGGTGGTACTTTCTACAATCGAAGTGTTATAACACAATTGTTTTCTTATTAAAAAAGAAAAAAAATTATATACATATAGTTGCAGCTATTTACCTCTTGGTATCGAAGTTATTTTAGCCTCCCAGTGTTCCACGAAGAACGTGTCTTTCTCCCGAACGATCAATATCACAGACATCGTGTAATTGTTCACCGACACCGCCAAGTCGACTATCTTTTGCTCGTTTCCCAATCGTTTGGTATCTTCATTCGTCCAATCGGACGTGCTGTGGAACTTAAACAACTGGATGATATTCTGTAATAAATAAAATTTTTGCCACAATATTACCATGTTACCGGGTTCAGTTCCACTATTTTTTAATTAAGTTTTTTTTTTGTTACTCTTACATTGTGAGCCACCACTACGAAAGTATCGCCGTCCGTGTGAAAGATGCTTGTCAGACTGTGAGGTTCAATTTCACGAAGACTAAACCAATCCAACAGCTCTTGTCCTGAAAACACGAGGCACGCGCTTCAGCCATTGTTCCGTTAATTAACACGTATCGTGAGAGAACTTTATCTTCAAAAAAACAAAAAAATGTACAAACCGTCCCAGCAGAGCACAACGCTCGGTCCTAACTCGTTTATCATCAGCACGAAGTTGAAGTCGCCGTGAACGTAATGTTGCATCGAAGTCGGTCGCGCGGTCGCCAAAAATTGTATCTTCACGATGTTGTTGTCCTTGAACTCGTACACCTCGGAGTCGACGCGCGGATTCTCGTCGTCGCTCTGCGCGAACACGATGATCGTCGATTGCCGATGCGCGAAGGCGATGACCGACGTCGCGCCGATCGTCATCACCTCGTCGACGACGTCCATGTACGTGCCGCTCCACCGATAGATTCTGCATCGTTCCAGAGATGGAGAATCGAGCGGGAATAAAAATCATGAAAAAAAATCATTTTTAACAAAATTCAAAAAAAAATTTTAATTAAAAATTGTTTTATAAATTATAATAAAAAAATTTAAGATCTTTTATATCAAAAATAGCAATTAAAATAGCTAGAAACTTACACGGACGGTACGGAAAACTTGTCGGCATTGTTAACAATGACCAGATAAAGTTGATCGGCTTGTGTGAAAAACGTCGCGTCCACGGGAATCTTTCTGTATTTGATGGTCTGGCGAAACCGCAGCGATCCCTGCGACATTCTCGTGTAGAGAGTGCACAGAACGGACTCGTGGCATATTAACAAGTAGGCGCTGTCTTTCCACACAATGCTCTGCAATTAGCATGGGGGTTTATTGTTTAAATCTCGAAGAACTTTTTTGTTCTGACGATGAGGAGTTACGCGATGTTCGTACCCTAACGAATTTAACTGAGAGAGATCCTCGGATCTTATCAATTTGGCGCAACGGTTCGCGGGTCTGGTTCCGAGAGGTCTCGTTAAAAGAGGGTGCCATCACTCGATTGCTGTCGAGAACGAATATCCCGTCGAACGTGCTTATCGTGAACGGCTGATACTCGCTCGTCACAGGCACCCGCCATGATCTGTCCCAGTGTAGTTTATACAATTTGTCTTCCGCTAAAAATAAAAAGCACTTTTCACTTTTTTTATAAAATTGAACTTTATTCCCGCCTGCCGGCGTTATTTTCGCGAAAAAAACGAAGAGAGAACTTGTCTCGAATTGTCTCTAGGTGCGATCACTTAGCCGAGGAATTTCTTCCGAAAAAACGTACACGTGGCATTTGGGATCAAATTAAGAGATGATGAATTTTACCTGGCGCTGTTTTCCGGATGTGAATCTTGATGAGTTCTTTCTTGGACTGCCGCAGTTTTTCGTTCAGATATTCGTTCAGCTCGGCGCGCGCGGGAACCAACTGCAAGAGGACGATGCTCGCCAACTGCAACAGAATGTAGACACGTTAAATTGAAAAAAAATAAATAAATAAATAATAATAATAATGATGATTTAACGCGCGCGTGTTTATTCCGTTGTTTGTTCACTCGCACAATGAAAGAAGGAAGAGAAACTTGCAAAGAGAATGAAGGAATTCATGATTCTGTGTGCGTGTGTGTGTGTGTGTTACGACGTTCCGGGGACCGGCGAGTCCGTTCACGGCAATGGCCGTGCGCACATTGAAGTTCGAAATTTCGGAAACGGTCTGCGATATTCTCGGTGCGCGACCTTCTCTCTCGATACAGAGATACCTCGTATCGAGATACGATATATATATATATATATATATATATATAATACAAACAGGGGCGTGAATGTGTGATGAATGTAAATACACCGCTCTCAGTGTGTATGAATCAATAATACACACTGGAGCGAACACGCACAATATAAATGTATATTAACGCGCGCACAGAACGGTAACAATTGAAAATCGAAATCAAAGCCGCAAACCGAATTCCGATCGAGAATAGATTTTGTGAAACAATATTCTTCAGAAATTTAACAATCTATTTTTTATGAATAAAAACCAAAAAAAAATCTGCAAAACGATATCTTTTCAATTAATCAGATCCAACAATGAATTAGTTGTAATGAAGAACTCTTAATTAATGTTGTAAACGAGACTCTGAACGAACAGCAAAACGCTTTGACAGAAAAATGCGCGAGATGAGCATCATTCTAATTATCATGACTAAACCATAAACGTTATTGTTCGTGTATTACGTGTGTGTGTGTGTGTGTGTACACACTACATGTACACATACACACACTTGAAATATTCCTTGATATATATATATATATATATATGTATATATGTATATATATATCAAGAGATCTTGTCAGAGGGGAGAATAGAAATTAAGGACAGGTTTGGTAAGTTTCACTTTTGATACTTGTTTTTGTGTCGTGACGTGTCTACGAGATCTCCTCTGCCACGCGCGGCATTTTTGCGTTACGTCTCCGTACGGACACACTCCGAGAGAAATAAAGTACGCGAAACCCATGTAAAAAATGTCAACGTACCGTGACAAAGCGCATATGCGTGTTGTGCACACGTGCGTGTGTAAATGGTGTCTTGCAATTTAATTTACAGTTCGACGCGCCGAGGAGAGAGAGAGAGAGAGGACATTTTCTTAAGGTCGCGTCAATTGTTATTTCATAATTATTCAATTGATATATTCCCGCCGACTCGCAAGTTTCGAAGATTCGCACGCGGCGAACTCTCCCGCTGCACAAAAGATTTGTATATATACATTATAATTTGCAAGTGTGTCACTATAAAATATTGCGCGCCCCGAGTAAGTATATATATATATATATATATATATATATATATATAAAAAAGGAAAATTAACTTACCTACGTTTTAATGTGGTTTATAAATAGATTGTCTGCCCCGGCAATTGAATCAAATTAGTTCGAGGCAGAAGCATGGAAATTGTTACACGCCGTTGATCCCCTCTCGTGACTTCATGTTGCAAAACAATGAAAATTAATCATTTCTGTTAACAAAAATAAAATCGTCGATCTTTTAAAACGAGAATCAAAGCAATTGTTGCAAATTTTTCTTGTCGTATTCTTTTTGTGAGTTTCATTTTTTAATTGCATATTCGATCCATTAAATTTGAGTTCTTCTATATCGCAGGTTTAGAAGAACTTCCTGATCTCTATTTTGTATCTTTTTACAACAAAAAGTACGCGTTCTCATTGTTTAAAATTCATTCAATCTTGTAGAAGACGGATAATAAATCTGAAACCTCTCTCTCTGATGTGAATAGGGTAACGCAAATGAGACCGTAAACAAAGAAGAAACCATAAACAATTGTGGACAAAGACCCTTCTTTGACTTTTAATCACATATTTAAAACTTGACATCACATTCGAACTTTGGAACATCGATCAAAACAAAACTCAAGATATAGATTATCGCGTTATTGAACAGGACTCTGATCACCAATCACAACATTTGCGTTACCGTATAATGCACGGTATTGCGGTTGTACTGATAATTTCATATATTAACATACAAAGATGTTTTTTCGGGTTTGAACCGCGTTAGTGTCATTTTTGTATCGACGTTTCGTAAACATTACAGCTCACTTCATCAGGGTTTGATACTATCAGGCTGCTCTTCAAACCCTGATGAAGTGAGCTGTAATGTTCACGAAACGTCGGTACAAAAATGACACTAACGCAGTTCAAACCCGAAAAAACATCTTTGTATCTTAATACTACACACCGCGAAAGCATCAAATATCAAATTTCATATAATGGTGCAACAAATTCAAGCAAGAGACAAAGACCGCGTTCACGGCGATTTATTGAAAATCTATAGTTCACGTCACGTAGACTCGTAAAAAGATGTTCACTGATAACGCGGTCGCCAATCACGCGCGCATCAAACACACACGTCGGCTTTGTTTATTTTATTTAACGTATAAACTCGGAGATTAGATTGTCGTCTTGAAACGAGGTGAAAAGTTGCAAATTTGTGTTGTGAATTATTTTTCATATATTTACAAATCAAAACTACAACAAATAAATCCTCATACTTTTATCATACTTTTCGTATCTCAAGTTTGAAAGTTACACACACGAATCGACCGCCAGATCGCGAGCGAGGGCTGATTGGTGGACGAGGACAACGGCGTCGCGCGTTCCGATTGGCCGGTGATTGAAATAACGCGACGAATCGGTTGTCGCTTCGGCGACGAACCTCGTTCGGTTCCGTCGACTCAAATCGCCGTGCTCTGCCGCACTGTGCGACGAGTGAGCGACTGGCAGCGAGACACAGAAGCACTTGGTGTGTTAGTCGGATACACAGCTAGAAGGTAGACGTTCTCTCCGAACCGGTCGGGTTCTCTCTTTCACGCTCGGGCTTTTGTTCTCGGCCCGTAATCTCGTGCGCGTTTCCGCACCGCCTCCGAGTGCTACTCGAATCCGGTCGTGAGAGACGCCGGGAACGCCGCGACGCTGCGAAACGCAGCAGCCGCGCAGCTGCGTGCGCGAACTCCGGTGAGCGTGTGTGTCTCTGTGTCTCTCTGTGTGTGTGCGCGCGCGAGGCGCGAGCGAGAGTGCACGTGAGTGTGTGCGAGCGCAACCGCGTGCGGGCGGTTCCCACACGACGTCGTCCGTGCAACAAGTGTCAGGAGGCGGCGGCGGCGGCAACGGTGGCGGTTGCTTGAACTCGGTGCGATACCGTGGAACACGCAATACGTGGTGCATGGTGCCAGTTAATCGGTGATATCGGGTCACGTCGGCGATCATCGTCATCGTCATCATCATCGTTGGTCTAGACCGTCACCACGACGTGCTGAGAGGATCGTCACCGGCTTAGGCGCGGGATGGGCTGCGCCGTGAGCACCACCGGCGAGAAGGAGGCCGCCGAACGGTCCAAGAAGATCGACAAGGACCTCCGCGCTGATGGCGAGCGCGCCGCAAGCGAGGTCAAGCTTCTGCTGCTCGGTAAATATGTGCCTTTTCTATATTCCGATATTATTATATCCGCAACAATCGCGATCTATAATTTTTCTTCGTCTTGGAGATCGTCGCGAACCATTCGCGACGGAATACAATTCCCGTCTCTCTTTCTCTCTCTCTCTCTCTTTCTCTCTCTCTCTCGCTCTCCTTGCTCGATTTTCGACGACGCGCCCAGGATTTTTCTCCTTCCTTCCGCTCTCTCTCTCCTCTTGTATAGTCTCGTCTCGCGCGTTCTCGAACGCCTCCCGAAGGCGCCGCGGTAACAAACTCTCTTCGCGTAGTTTGTGCGCCCGTAGACGTGTACTTGCACTTTCCGCGCGTTCTTATTCCTCCTCGCGTTCTCTCCTACGTCTATTTTTTTTTTTTTCCTCCTCCCCCCGTCGTTGTTCTTATGTCATTCGAAAAGCGACAAAAGTTTTCAGCCGATCCGCAAACCAACGTTCGATCTTATCTGTCTATTGTTTTTTGTATAAATTTCCAGATTTTCTCACATGTATCACAAGCCCCGTGGCCTGAGAGAATTCTCGAAACTCTTTGACGTGAGACTTGACGTTTCCAGCTCTCCAGTGTGTGCTTCTCCGTATACACATATATATCATGCTGCAAATCGCGCGAGCACGAGAGAAAGCACACGGTTGACGTGATTACATCGGGGGGGAATCGCCTGGAAAATCTTGCGATACGTTTGAATCGCTCGGTCTTTTAAATTTTCTCATATTTTTTTTTTTTTTTTGCCAGAGACAGATTTCAATTCCTCAATCATTTGAAAAGAATCGAAAGAACGTTGAACCTCCGCTTCCTCTTTCCGGAGAGGTACACACGGCTGCGGGGAGGGAAGAGGAGGGAAGAGAGAGGAAGAGGAATGAGAGAGCTAATGATGCGGTTTTTTAATCGTTGGCGCCGCCTTGGCGAATTTAGGCGACCGAGCGCGCTTTCCTAACACATCTCTCCCGCAACGCGCGAGATATATCTTTCTCGGTTTAAATGTGCAAACCTTCGGTTGCGCAAACCTCTCCTCCTTGGTGTCCTTTCTTGCGCTCCTCTCGTGCGCTCCGCGCGCGTTGTATGTGTCACGTTCTACACGTTCCTTCTACGGTAGAACGTGTGTGCCCCGTATTTCACTCGCGTACGCGAAATCGCGGTTCGTTCACCGTTTGCGTTCACCCGCGATCGATTTGATTCGCGAGAAAATTTATTGGGGGGGAAAAAAAAAAGAAAAAAAAAACAGAATGACGAGCTTCCGTCGTTCTCGGAAACTTCTCTCGTCCTAACGGTAATTTTTAAATTCGTGTAATTAAAACGTCGAAGGAGGAAGAATAGACGGTTTTAATCCCGTAATTATACGTACGGTAATTTGTTTAAAATGCAGCTTAATTAAATTGCGATACGAATTCCACACACGAGCGGCGTTTTGATGTTTTATGTATCTTTAAAAAAAAAAAAAAAAAAAAAAATTATAATTCGATATTAATATGTAATTAATTACACGACATTAATTTGTTGTTATTATTGTCTAAAAACAGCAGGTTTTTCGACAATAATCCAAATGCAAAAATTTGTGCTCAAATTAAATCATCGACGCATGTCGATAATTTAATTTGAGCATAATTTTTGCATTCGGATGGATTATAATAAAATAACCGTCTCGCAACGAGAAGAGAATTTTATCATTCATTTCGATGACGAAATTTTGACACTCGAAACACAACGCGGACGTTAAAGCACACGCGCGCGTGGTGGTGATGCGCCTCGCGCTCGTTACGGGAAACTTGAATCATCGTCGACCGCGTGTGAATCACGAGATTACGTCTCTCTTTGAGAGAGACGCGCGCGAAATTATTATTATCTTCGTTTCGCGCTTACGGGAATATATCTAACGTTTTTTCCTCGACGAGGAAGTTCTCTCTCCCCGATGATGATGATGATGATGATGATAATCTAGCGGGAGCGCGAATCAATTGATGATCGGACCTCGGCTATACGAAAAACGCCGTGATGATCAATCGGTTAATTGGATCCAATTGTTGTGTGTTAACGCGTATCTCATCACATCATCTGTCATCCACGTCTCATGTTGTGAGAATGTATCGGTTTAAAAAGATTTTGCATACATTTGCATCGATTGGAGTTCGCAACGAACAAGCCCCGTGTGAGACTTGTTCGTCGTTCCGAACGAACACACACACATCGGCGTTGCCGATGCAACAACGTGCGACGGTGATTTCAATTGTTGCGTTAAGAAAAATATCGCAAATTTTCGCGACCAGATGCAACACTCGCGAGCGGCGACATTTATTTATTTTTTTGTTTACGTTTGCGATATTTCAAACAATTGCAGTCACGGTTGAAAAAAAGAAAATTTTTACCAAAACGCATTTCGAACAACTTCCTCTTTTGTGCGATTTGTAAATTTGACTTGCGTTAATAATAAAATATGCGTCGCATGCATTTTTCAATTCGATCGATTTTAAAATTCAAGGTGCTGGCGAGTCTGGCAAGTCGACGATAGTGAAGCAGATGAAAATCATTCACGAGACCGGCTACAATAAGGAAGAATGCGAGCAATACAAACCCGTGGTGTACAGCAACACGATACAGAGCCTAATGACGATAATCAGAGCCATGGGAGATCTCAGAATCGACTTTGCGGATCCTAATAAAGCGGTGAGTGCAATTAAAGTAACTGTTTGTGCACGAGCTCTCTCTTTTTTTTTTTTTTTTTTAACCGCTCGCATAAGTAACAAACGTTAGAAATGTATACGTTTTTGCGATAGAGCGATACCCCAAGGATAATAAAACCTGCAGCAGCAGCGATTTAATGTCACTTGTTGTTATCAATTGCACTTCCGCGTGACCTACTGGCATTAGGTAAATCGGCCTTGTGTTGTTGTAGGATATGGCGCGGCAATTTTTCACCCTAGCATCGGCAACGGAGGAAGGCGAACTAACCGGGGAACTGGCGCTATTAATGAAGCGATTATGGCAGGACGCGGGAGTGCAGCTCTGTTTCACACGTAGCAGGGAATACCAGCTCAACGACTCGGCGGCGTACTACCTTAACGCACTTGACCGCATAGCGCAGCCCAATTACATACCGACGCAGCAGGATGTTCTGCGAACGCGCGTCAAAACCACAGGAATCGTGGAAACGCACTTCTCTTTCAAGGGTTTACACTTCAAGTACGTTCTCGCGCGCGCGCGCTCAAAGAGAAGATCGCGCGTCTCACCTTTTATTTTGGCAAGATGTAAAATTTTTGTTTTTTTTTTTGTTTTTTCTCGCAGAATGTTCGATGTTGGCGGTCAGCGATCCGAGAGAAAGAAGTGGATACACTGCTTCGAAGGCGTCACCGCGATCATCTTCTGCGTCGCTCTCAGCGGCTACGACCTGGTGCTCGCGGAGGACGAGGAGATGAACCGAATGATAGAATCGATGAAACTGTTCGACTCGATTTGCAACAGCAAATGGTTCGTTGAGACGTCGATCATATTGTTCCTAAACAAGAAGGATCTGTTCGAGGACAAGATCACCAGGAGTCCGCTCAGCATCTGCTTCCCGGAGTACAAGGGCGCGAACACATACGAGGAATGCGCCTCGTACATTCAGATGAAATTCGAGAATCTGAACAAGAGGAAAGATCAGAAACAGATCTACACGCACTTCACGTGCGCCACGGACACGTCAAACATACAATTCGTATTCGACGCTGTGACCGACGTAATAATCAAGAACAACTTGAGCAATTGCGGATTGCTCAGCTAAACGTTCCGGCAAACTCGATCAGTAAATTTATCCGAGACAAGAAATAAATCTCATGGGGATATAGATCTTCGTGAAAGTATAAACGTTGGAGAAATGATGAAGAGACTGATTGAAAGTTCTAAATCGCGTCTTTACAAGAACACGACGTGTGCCTGATTACGCGAGAATTTTACTCATTTACAGACTCTTTTGGAATACTTTATCACGATATCATGTAAGTTTGTTTTTTTTTTTTNNTTTTTTTTTTTTGTACTCGATTCTGTAGTTTTTATAAAGCGACCGCTGTCTTTTGTACAAAATTCTTCGCGAATTCGTTCGGAGTTTCTTGTATGAATATGCAACTCTTATTTAATTGGTTTTAAGTTCGGCAATGTGTGTGAGACAAGTATTATCCAGTTAACGAACAACTATTTAAAAGGCAATCGGGAGTCAGATATCAAGGTAAAAAAAAAAACTTTTACGTTGCTGCCAGAATATATATATATTCTAGAAATAATATATATATATTCTAGAAATATAGATATATATTTCTAGAATATTCTTAGCGTATCCTGTTTTTTACACACTTTACAGTACGCGCGGTTAATTAATTACGTGTCGATCTGATTGAATAAAATTTGTATCTGAAGAAATTCGTGACGGTAATTGTGTCTCTTTTTTGTTTTTGCAATTAATAATTTTCTTAAAAGGACAAAAAATTGCAAAACTTTTTTTGAAAAAAAATAAAAAAATAAAAAAATAAAAAAAATAAAAAAACAAGATAAGACGTCAACGAGTGTCGACACAACGCTAAGTATATAAGAACTATCTACTCCCGGACTAAGGCCGGTATTCATAGTCCGATCTCATATTTAAGATTCGTCTTAAGTTTATCTTCAGAGATGCTCTGCGGAGCAAAACTCACTCGCACACCATCTGAAGATAAACTCAGACGATCCCAAATATAATAAGACTCGACTACGAATACCGGCCTAAGAGAGAAAAGCAAATACAAACGTTAGTTCGTCTTCTTTTTTTGCTATAAAAAAAAAAATGTATTTAATTATACTAACAAAGATAGTTATTAATTTAGTAATATTTTTTTTGTATATAGTTTATTACATACATACACACACTAAAAAGCGACTACAAGTGCTAAGCATAGCGTTTCCTCGCTCATTATCTATTCGCGTTTGGAAAAAAACGAACAAATTATTAGAGTCTCGATAAGACACAAGCGCAATTCTCATTTGGATGCTAACAAGCAGTACAGCGCCAACTCGCAAAAAATGAAATATTGAAATATTCATGTAGTGTGCTTCTTTAGCTGTCAAACAACGTTTTTCAACAACGTGTTCTTAAAACCTTAAAATGTTTTTATATTATCAAAAATACGCAAACATCTTTTTTTTTTTTTTAAATCTTAAGGCGTAATTTTTATACTCAAAATAGCGATGTGTGGATTGACACTGTGTTGCTTATTAGCGTCCATTTGTCTCTTTTTTTTACGATATAATATTTATATAAGGATACAGTTTGGAGGAAATTCTTTTTCTTTTCTTTTTTGTACAAGCTTCCTTTTTTTTATCTGCATACCGTATGCGTATTATACATAATTGTTTCTAGTGATGAAACAAAAAGAAAACATCGAGGATCGCTTCGCACACACATTCCTCGATCCCGGCAAACACACACAGAGACGTAATGACAATAATGTAATAGGATCAAGAATCGAATCGAAATCAAATCTCTTTTATACAGCTTAGAGGTGAAATAAATTCTTTTTTTTTTCTTTTTAAGACTCAACGTTCTTTCAATTTTCCTCACGTGGTTTTTATTAGATTCCATTCAATGCCTATATATGTATATACATCCATATGTTTTACATCTTACATAAGTAAAAGGATCGTTTTACCTAATGAAAATTAGGCGTGCGCAAGCATGTTGAAATGCATGTTGCTGAGGTACAGAATAACCTGTTGTGTTTTCTAAGAGTATTGCATGTGGAACAATTTTTAGTTGTAGTTCTCGTATCTTTCTTGCCTATAAAATCAACATTCATTTCGTGACAATAATTCACGCGCATGTATGTACGGTGTCCACTTTCCCATGACTGGAGCATTTGTTTTTTACGTCGTAACTGAAAATTTCGGAATAACGAAGATTAAAACGCGAACGAACATTTTTATATATATACAAATTTGTAATTCTCAATTCTTCAACTGTCAAGCTGTACGTATTTCTAAAACGCTTGTATTCGCGTTCATTTTTTTTTTTTTCTGCTTGACTCGCATCGTTCGTTGTTTGTCTACTGAAAACGCAGTGAAAAAAAATCTGAATATCAAACGAACGCACAAAATAGGAGACCGTAAGCAAAGACATTTATGGTACTGTCTCCTACGTAAAAAAAAATAAAAAATCGAGGTAAGATCACGTCTTAAATTTTAAGGGAAGCAATATACACGGGATTGAAATGTGTTTCACAGAAATTTCGGAATGTAAAAGTCGTAGGAACATCAGACGAAATAAAAACAAAAATTACACGTATCGCAAAAACTTATGTAGGAAAAAGCTTAGACTAATTAGAGATTTAATTAAATTAGCTGTCTTTAGTACGAAATCTGGGAAGACTTTAAAAAATAACATTTAGCTACGTTCGGTTGTTAAAAAATTACCATACTTCAGCAGTGGCTTCTTAATTCAAAGGGGGTCTTCGAGTTGAACTCCTCGTACAAAGAGAGAAATTCACAAAAACAAAAAAATTGGCGATTACTCAACATTCGTGGGAATACATGTTGTGTTCGAGTGTGCAACTTTTTCTTCTCTGTACACTACGTATGATTATTTAGTTGTAAAATTAAATTCGCTGCTTGACGTGTCCTTTTATAGACAAATTTTTTTGGTATATTTACACTAAGATATAACGGTGTAGACTCTCTCTCTCTCTCTTTCTCTCTCTCCCCAGAAACTGTTCTAACAACGAGGATCTTGCATCTTAAATTATTAAATGTACAAGCAATGCGACAGTAAAACTATAACATTGTTACCGCAACATTTATTTATATCTATATATGTAAATACTCTCTGATGTGATTGCTACAAATTTGTTCGTGACACATCTAAATTTTTCAACAGCTTTCGAATATACATTATCTCTTTCTCTAAATGTCGTGTCAACAATTTATACACATATAAATTGATACAATCTCTCTGAAACGATAAATTCTTTGTTCTATTTGTGACGAAAAGATAAAAAAAAAACAGTTTCCATTCAACCACTGCAATGGATCAACGGGGTCAATAATGCGCGCTACTATCAACACACGCCAGTGTTTCGAGGTCAATAACAACTTACGGATACGTAATTAACATTAATTGCGAATGGACAATTAATCGTGTACGCGATCGAGACTAAAAACTTAAACACTGTAACTGCTTGGTGTGTATACCGCTCTTGAAGTAAATCGCAAAACGTAATTCAAATTCCTACTTACGCTACGTGAATCTGGAACTTAGTTTGGAAGCGAGAAATCAACCGACTGCTTGTCGTCTCGTCATTTTTTTTTAGTCTCATAAATATTTATAGGCTATTAATTAAAATAAACGCTAAACATAGCGGACGTCTACCTTGAGTCCCTTGTTCAGTGAGGATTTCTGGCAGGAATGGGCGGCCCGCCGGTGGTTCTCGCCGGAACAGGCGGCGGAGCGTTTGACGGAGGTAAACTTGGAGGTGGGTGCTGCGGAGGCGGCGGAGCTTGCCGGTGCGGTAACGGGGGAGGTATCGAACTAGGCGGGGGTCTGCTCGAAGTTTCTTGAGATCCTTCCATGCGCGGTAACGGGGGCGGCGGCCGATTCGGCACGGGATAGCTGGATCCGTCCAGTATCTCCTCGTAGATAGCCGAGTCGGGTGACAGTCTTGGGTCTTCCTGCTGATCGTCCTCCGTTTTATCTGCGACCGGGGATGACGCCGGAATGGGAAACTGACTGGGCGTCACGCTAAAAACACCAGCCCGTGGTCCCTTTCGTTCATGAGCCGGGCTTTTGGGTGGTTGGGGAGGTCGAGTCGGTGGCGCCGGTCTCCTAGGCGGAACCACGCCGTTGGGATTGCTTCTGCTCGGGGACGATCGATCCCCGATTTCCAACTGTTCGAGTCGCTGCATGGGACTTCTCAAAGGTGAATTTGTCGTAAACTGTGCCGTGGTATTGCTGCAGATCTCGATTTCCTTCTTGATCAACTCTGTCCAATTGGGCGACTTCAGAGACAGTGTCAATGTCTGACCGCACACCTGCGTCATGCCTTTTTTCGCAGCGGCCAGAGCACATTGACCGTCTCGAAACGTTACCCAGATGGTCTCGCCGACATAACGAACCAGAATTGCCTCGCCTATATGAGACAAATCTTGTATCAGCGCCGACATGAGATTGTCATCGAACACGTCCGTGTCCTCGACATCTTCCACGGCTTTGACTACTATCGTGCCGTCCGGTGGGCCCAGGTCCTGTATCACCTCTTGAAATACGCGCTCGCGTTTCTCGGGATCTACGCAGTGCACGTCTATATCGATGGTGGCGATCACTGGCCGATGATCGCTCTGTTTCAATTCCGCTCTACCGTAACATATGAGTTTTCCCGGATTCCAATCTGTAGGCGAATCTAAAATTTAGAATTGATAAAAATACAAGATATTACAACAAAATAGAAAAATTTAATATTACTAGGTAGTGCGAAAAACCGACCAATATCAGGAACTTGTTTCCTACGCTTCCACAAGACTCGGTCGGTCCAAGCAGGCTGGCGACACTTCTCGCTCGTGTCGTAGTCGTCCGAGAACAGGTCGTATTTGTATGTAGGAGCAAAAGTGATCGGACCTTCCAAAAAATTCTTGAAGACATTTCCTTGGGCTTGTTGAACCTTAAAAGTAAAAATAAAGTGTGTAAATAGCAAACAGTAGAAAAAATTTTAAAAATAAAATTTATTTTTTACCCTCAATTGATCGTATTGGAGTATCTCGTCGAATTCGTTGCGTTTGATCAGTTCCTTCATTTCGTCCTTGTCCATGTCGACTCTGTAGTTGAAGTCGCCGCACCAGAACACGTAATCGTGAGTGTTCAGAGTTCTGCCCATTGGAAATGCTATCTTCCTCGTGATCTCGGCGTAGTCCGCGTTACGTTCGTTCACTTGGGACTGGCCAGCGGCAAAGTGCGCGCACACGAAGCAAAAAGACGTGGAGTATAGCACGCATCTAATTGCCGCAGCACCTTTGTTCCCAGTTGCGCCGCCCAATCCGGTCTTCACGCAATCCACCGCCACGTCCCGCAGATACGGCGCGTGCACCGGTCGTATGAACAGGTACAGACATACGCCGACCAACTGTTGATACGTTACAAGAACGTAGTCCTCATCCTTGGACAGTACCTTCTGCAATTCCTCCGCCCAGGCCTTCGCGTTGTCGGAACTGGCAGCCATTATATTGCTGGCGTTTAGATCAACGATTTCTTCGAAACCTATTGCAAATATGTCTACAGGAACGGTATTATCGGCTGCTTCCAGAGATACCAGAGCTGAAAAACAAAACAAAATAAAAATGAGATATCAAAAAATACAGAATTGAATTTTTTTCTCTTCTATTATGTGCAACTTCTACGTATCGATTACTTACACGATTTGCGTGGTCCATCGAGTAACCAATCAGATAGCGATACATCTTTATAAACTACGCTTCTAAAATGCTTTCCTCCATTGACGTTGTAAGTACCGACGCTCACCCTGAGATTCATTGTGACTACGTATTCGTTATAGCGCTTGCACATCTCTCGCAAGAGATTCGGCGCGGCGTGCAACATGTTCGAGGGTAATAACAAACGCGCCCTGTCAGCTAGTTCCGTGTTCAACGTCGAGCCTAACAATAAGATATCGATCGCTTCCTGTTTGTTCGAGTCCAGTAAATTGTTCTGTATCGTTCTGGCTGCCGATCTCGCGCCGTCCATCAACTTGGAACTGCCTTGAATGGCGCCGGTGCCCGCGTATATCTTGCTGACTTCGTTGCCGTTGTTGATCCACATTTGGCGAAACACTTCCTCAAATCTCGAGACCATCGTCTGCTTCTCCATCAGCTTCAACAGACTCATCTGCTTGGCCAGCATCTCGAGGGCGAAGAACGTTTGCACGCAGTTGGTTCTGTCCAGACAGTCCAGACAGTTTGTTCGAATGGTGCCAGTTTGTTCCATGTACACGTCATTGCCCACCGCGTAGAACAACGAGAACGATTCCAAGTACTTTTCGACTTTGGACTTCAGCTTCGACAGGTTCTTCATGTTTCCACCGCGGCACTCCTGGTGATAATCGAACAAGATGTGCGGCACGTCCTTGTGCTCCGACATATTGTGATGAGTTTGAAACAACTGGCTCAGCATCGCTTCCCCTTCCTTGCTTCCGATCAGACTGGAGCCGAGAAGATTAACGATCACCTGATGACCGTATCGTTTCTTGATCATATTCAGATGCTTGTCGAACGCGGGCGCGGAGGTCTCGAAACCACGTGAGATTTTAACTTTGTGAGAACCGACTTGTATGCCGGGCTGTTCCCAGAACAGAGGTACCGAGCCTCTGGTTTGAACGTAAGAGGTCACTTCGTTATCGATGTATATCACCTGCTCCGTCTCCACGAAATTTGCCACGTGTCCGTCATCGTTGGTTCCTCTTACGTTAAATCTATAAACACACGGAAAGTAATTTTATATCAGAAACAAGTAATATATGCAGCAATACAAACAATCTGATACTTGATGCTTTCGCGGTGTGTTGTATTAACGTTCGAAGATGTTTTTTCGGGTTTGAAGCCTGATAGTAGTCAGACTGCTCTTGAAACTCTGATGAAGTGAAGCTGAAATGTTCGCGAAACGTCGGTGTAAAAATGACACCAACGCGGTTCAAAACATCTTCGAATGTTAGTAACAAACGACATTTAATCAGGCCATGTGTTTGCGCGCGGAGTTTGTTTGTTGATATCAGTTGCTATCAGTCGCAAGAGAGTGTATCACGTATTATAGCCACATGTTTTATCTCACAAAAATTACACCTCTCATCAAACACTTGACCAAGTGAAGAGATAAAGTGCGCAAGTACGTTAGAATAATTTTTTAACCGAAAGAAAATACTGCGTGTGTTACCTGGTACCAGCACGTTCGCAACTTAATCTAGACATGAGCACCGCTCGCGCTTGTCTGTGACCCACGTAAACGGTTCTGATCTCCACACTACCGCACATCGCCTTCAACAGCCACTGACTCGTGTCCACGCCGTATCGCAACAGATGAATATGCAACATTCGATTCCTGCGCGAACAATTTAAAGGAATTAGAAGAAGATGATGAAACAGAGAAAATTTTGCACGCGCAACATTTTTTTTTTTACTAACCAGAAGAATCTGTTATCCGTGGTGGTCGCTTTGCATCTTCTCTGAGCGCTCAGAGTGATGTCGAGCGACTCCTGTCCGGCGGACCAGGAGAAATAAAACGTTCCCGAATTCAGTACCTTTCTGACCTCGGACACGCGATCCTCCATTCCCTGACTGTAGAACAGAGGCACGAAACTCGACTGCGTTATCCGGAAGACTTCCGACTCTCCGATCTTGCCGACGGAGAAACATCCGGTGACCAGAACAAGATACAACAAAGTGTTCTCGCCGGCGTTCAGTTGCAAAACACCCAGACATCCGTAAGCGTCCACCAACTTGGTGTACTTCGGTTTCAGAAACTCGTGCTCCTCGGCAGCTGTGCGAAGAAAGTCACAGTAGCGCAACACATTTATTAATTAACAAAATTACAAACGAACCAAAATTGTGTATCATAAATAATCTTTCGAAACACAAATTTTTCTTGAACCTTTTATTTATTTTATTTTTTTTTTCTGAAATATCTCAAGAGAATATTCCGAATGAGAAACCAAAAACAAAACTACAAAAAAAAAAACTGTTTGAATATTTGCAAGAATCTCGAGAGATTCGAAACAATTGAGCGTGTTCGAGCTTGATATTCGAACGTTGTTGAAAAAAATTTTCAATCACCGATTGTAGGCGCGGAGCGGTTAGGCAGGACCGGAACAACGTCGTTCCGCCGGCGCAAACAAACGAATTTATCCGGCTTACTTACAAAGAACAGCAACCGCCTGCGACTCGAAGAGCAACGTCTCCTTGCGATTTCGCTGCTCGAGTATGACCGAGTGCGGTTTGGGTGAATCCAGCTTCTCGTAAACGCGAAAACCCTTGCCCATCGCCATTGTTGCGCGTGTTTATACTTTCTTTCTTCGTACAACAACGAAGATAATCCGTCTGCCGACGATGACGACGATGACGACGACAACGACGACGACGGCGACGATTTACGGAGGCGTGACAGTTGCGTCTGTCACACGGCGCGTTGCGACGTGACGTGACGCGGGAAAATGTTCCATCCGACGCGCTGTCCCCACCGCGCTGGCTCGAAAATCTCCGTCGTCCACCGTCGCCGTCATCGACCCTCTCTCTGTTAAAGATCGTCACCCTCGTAAAAGCGGCGGCAAATTTTTTTTTATTCACGAGAGAGACACCGTCGGAATTAGACGTCGCGTCCAGACCTGATGTCGATGAGAATCAGAGATCCGAACGAGATCTCGAACGGAGAGAGAGAGTGGGAGGAAGACTTGTTGGCCGATTGTATTGGTCAATTCCCGGGGATTTTGCTCTCCTGCGACTAGCGATCGTGTCATTGTAGACGAGATCTAATAAAGTGTCAATAAATTGAAACATGTCTTATGCAAATCACAGGTATTTTAAAAATGTTTTATATATAACATAAAAAATAATACATAATTTTACAAAGAGTAACCAACTGTTCTAATTTTGACAGTCTGAACAAGGACCTCTCCACCAGGATAAATTCTTTCCGGGATATTTAAAAGTCTCAAAACCACCGGAAACACGAAATTTAATTCAGGCCGGTATGATGATAATAAAATGATGTTAGGTTTTTCAAGAATCTTAGATGTAATTGCAGGTCTGTTCTTGCATTTCCTTACACTTCGCTTGCACTTGTAAGTAAACTTGAAGTAAATTACATGTAAATTTGCCCATAGCTAGATAGAACGAAACAGAAACGGAATTGTTCGTATACAAGATCAGATCTTATATTTGAGATTAATCTTAAGTTCATCTCAAGAGATCGCACGAGTCGTCTCTCTACTGGTTTACAGATCAATCTGAAGATCCAACTTGGGACGATTCTTAAACTAAGCTCCGAACTATGAATACCGGCCATATGATTCTTCAGTTTTCGAAAGTACAAAGTTCACTTTAGACGTCAATGATGTTGACTGTATAAACTATATGGCTCGACCAACAAACACTAATCGTCAGCTGCAGCGATAAGTCAAGCTGTCTGACGTTGCGTGCCGCGTTGTTCTCTATTTAGATTTTGTGCAATTATCCACCACACATTTGCGCCTTTGAAAAGAAATAACTTCAATTATGTTCGTTCTAATTAAAAGTGGACTTCCAAAACTTACGGTAAAAGACTATTTGCCGCGATCTATCTGTAAATTGTTTTTATGAATTTTTTTTTGTTTTTAGATTATTTTTTTCGCGTATTTATTTGCTCTTGTTTTATTTCCTGTATTACAGATACGTAGCCACGGGAGAGTGACGATTACTCGGCAATTAGCTAGGTATTGGTTTTCACTTTTTCTTAGTATAATAATAATTTTCAAAAAAGAAACATTGAAATGGCAGTTGAAGCAAACACAGTTGTTGTGTAGTGTAAAGGTGTGAAGTGTTGTTTATTTAAAGAGCATAAGTGATAAATGTACAAACGTTTCGATCTTCAATTTCTGATCTTTATCAATATGTGTAAGAATAAGCAGTAGTTGCGGTCTTCATGTATTAAGATGTGTAACGTAACATGTTTGAGATGGAAATGACAGGCTACGTCCTCACAGAAGCAATAAAGCAACTGCACACCTTTACACTACAACAACTGTGTTTGCTTCAACTGCCGTTTCAACGTTTCTTTTTTGAAAATATTTGGAGCTAATCATCTTTCTTTAAAATTTAATAATTTTCAGTTTTAATCTCAGTTTTTTTTTTATATATATATTCTTTGAAGACTGAAAAAACAATCAAATCAATTGGATTGTTGTGCGTTTGGACGTGTATAAAAATGTGAAATTTTTCCCATAGATGTATACAGTCAGCTAGGAGCCACCAGTAGTAGTGGCTAATGTTTAATGAATAATATCGTTTTAATAGTTTTGACAAGTTTTGATCATTTATTTATTTTTATCCTTTGATTTTTTTAAATTATTTCACACATGCATAGAATCAGTTACGAGCCACCGGTAGTAGCGGCTAATGTTTAACGAACAATCATTTAAATAGTTTTAGGAAGTTTTGATTATTTATTTATTTTTTTTTATCCTTTGATTTTTTTAGATTAAATATCGTCCTCTAACTCGTGCTTTTAATTCCAAGTGGAATTGTTTTCCAGTTTGTTTTTTTTCTTATCTAAGCATTAATATTTATACTTTCGATAAGACCTAATATAAGCATGTATTCCCATTTCAGAAGCACGATAGCTTCCCGTGATAATCTTGAATATCAATACATGCAGATGAGTAAAATTCCAACCATGCATTTTCAAGCGTCTTTGCCTCGCCTACCAATACCAAAACTGGAAGATACGTGCAGACGATACCTGAACGCGCAGAAACCATTATTGACCGACGAAGAATTTCGAAACACGTCGTCGAACGTCTCAAAATTTCTCATCGGCGAGGGTCAGAGTTTGCAGAAGCAACTTATTCAACTCAATGCCAAAAATTCACACACCAGTTACATCAGCGAACCGTGGTTCGACATGTATTTGTGCGATCGAAAGCCGTTACCTATCAATTACAATCCTTTTCTGATTTACACGCCGGAATCTGACGCGAAATACGACTCACAACTGGTGAAAGCGACGAATCTTGTCGTTTCGTCGTTGAGATTTCTCAAGTCTCTCAACGACAACGTTCTGGAACCGGAAGTATTTCACATGAGACCCGACAAATCAGACACCGAACTGTTTCGTAACGTCACCAGACTGATTCCGTCCCGTTTTAGCTGGTACGGTGCTTATTTGTTCAAGGTGAGCAAAAAACAAATGAGACTTTTGTTTTTAAACAAGATGGTAAGTCAAAAAAAAAAAAACAAAAGCACGTGTAGAAAAACTTTTCATTTCACCACCAGGCCTTTCCGTTGGATATGTCTCAATACAAAAATCTGTTCAACACGACGAGATTACCGAGATTGGAAAAGGACGAAATTTCCTACAACCCCTCGGCGAAACATTTGATCGTGTTGAGAAAGGGACACTTTTACGCCTTCGACGTTTTGGACGCCAACAATTCGATTCGCAGTCCCAAAGAGATAGCGGCGTGTCTGAAGGTTGTTTTGGAAGACGATAGACCGCCAAACAAACATCCCGTGGGAATTCTCACGACAATGGACAGAGATCAGTGGGCGCGAGCACGCTCGCATTTAATCAAAACAGGCAATCGGGAAGTTCTCAAGAAAATCGATTCGGCTGTGTTCGCGATGATTCTAGATGACGAAATTATCGGTACCGACAATAACAACTTAATTAGAGCATATTTACATAAAGACGGCACCAATCGATGGTTCGACAAATCATTTTCTCTTATTGTTTCGAAGGACGGCTATGGGGGGATCAATTTTGAACATTCCTGGGGTGACGGTGTCGCGGTGCTCCGATATTTTCAAGTAAGCGCTTCGTTCGAATCTATTTGTCGAGGCTAATTGTTTAATCGCTTTCTATGAGAAACGAAAATAATGCAAAGTCACTTCGTCACTTTTTAGGATGTGAAAGCCGACATATCGAAAAAACCTAGGTTTCATCCCGACGAAGTGAACGAGCTCCCGAGAGAAAATGTCGAAAGACTGGAATTTCTCATAGACGCGAAGAGCCAAAGTATTATCGATCAGCAGAGATCGACGTATCAAAAATGGATCGATCGTCTCTGCGTAGATCATATTATTTACAAGCAATTCGGCAAAGAGGAATGTAAGAAGCTCGGGGTAAGTCCGGACGCCGTGATGCAGCTGGCGTTTCAATTGGCATTGTACAATTTAGAGGGTAAAATGGTACCAACGTACGAATCTTGCAGCACAGCTGCATACAAACACGGAAGAACCGAAACTATCAGATCCTGTACGTTGGAAACTAAAGCGATTTGCGTTGCTATGACGCAGAAACAACTCGAGCTTTCGAAATCAGAATTAAAGAAGATGATACACGATTGCAGCAAAGCGCACAACGTTCTAACAAGAGAAGCTGTGATGGGTAATTAAGCGCGATCAATTTAACCGAGTGTGAAACTTCAAATAGACGCATCATAGAGGGTATGTATATATGCAGTTATTTAATAACATACGCATATATTTTGCAGGTCAGGGCTTCGACAGGCACTTGTTCGCTTTGAAAAAAATTTCGGAAAAATCGAATTCTCAACCGGCCATTTTTCGCGATTCGGCTTACGAGGTATTAAACCGCAACGTGTTGTCCACGTCCACGTTGTCGAGTCCGGTCGTAACAGCTGGTGGATTTGGACCGGTAATACCTGACGGTTACGGAATAGGATACATGATCCAGGACAAAAGTCTGGGTGCCGTTGTGACAAGTTACGAGGGCAAACGTAACGCCAGCAAATATATACAAACATTAGAACAGGCATTCAAGAGTATTCACGACGTGCTACACGCGTAATATGATAATTACGGCCACGTGTAATCAGTTAAGTCGTAGTTTTTACGTATTATATTAATAATTATTGAATCGTGTATATTTATATATTTGTTAAAACACACATTTTTATCGAGGTTATTGAACAGTTATTGTACGAGTACATTTCTATTGTACATTGTATATTACATTTTTTATTATTATTGTATACACTATTAAATGTATTAATCGTTATTGTTATGTAACATATAACAAGGAAGCTGCTGTACGCGTCGGACACACGTGTATATATATTCTAAAGACTCGCGTCATTTTCAACATAATCCGTTTGTTTAAAAATTAGTTTTTGTGTCAAGATCAAAAAGATGCGCAAGCGTATTTAGCTTGACCTTGACTTCACATGTGTCTTTCAATTTACAAATGATTCGCTTTCGTGTACCTGGGACTCATCAGCGGTGTTGCGCTTCACATTCTGCTTAAGATCTGTTTTAAAGATACAACTATATCTATTTTTGTGAGTATAACGAATAACTACATATATATTGTGGTACTAAAGTCAATTTTTAAAAGTTTGTTATAAAGAGTAGAAAAGATAAATTGAGAAAAAGTGTAAGGATGTTGTTAATTGATTTGTAACCCTGAGGGGATTGATAAGTTTAGGATAAATATATATATATATATATATACAAATATATGTCTTCCAATACTGCCATTAGGACACAATCGAATCGGACTTCGATATTCCGAGAGTGTGTGAATATGAAAACTAAAAATGTTAAACTACAGGTGTCACATACAGCAGCTTTCTCTCTTTCGACATTGTATATTTGTATCAGAGATAAGCGTGTCACGTGGGCAAACTTCTGATTCGCATTTGGCAATTGGAAACACAGCAAACATAACGAATGATAGTTTTATCTCTGACGCGCTTAAGAAGAACTTTTGTACAATATTACCGAATAAATATTTTGGAATACTTTTTAAACTTGCGATCGATAAATATTAAAATGTTTACTAATTTATATTCCTGTTTTGCAGTTAACTAACAATATTTTCAACAACAGACTAGTGATTACCATATTGGAATATATGTGTCATTTTATATCACTATTTATTTGACGATGACAAGTAAATATGTACACTGACTTGCACAGAAGTGAGCGCTACAACGCACTCAAAGTACCGAACAAAAGTTACGTTGCTTCTTTTAATATCGATACAAACAAAAAAAATTGCTTATTAAATCCTAAAACAAATAGGAAGATATATATCTAAAACAAGATGTAATATAAACAACATTTATGGAGATTTGAATTGGTAAATTAATCCACTGTAAGAATCTCACTCCCGATCAGAATTGTATCAGATATATATATAATGATATACCGAGTATGCACACATTAGTGTCTGGGAAATTCTTGTCTTTGCAGCGATTTCGACGATGTGATCCTCTTCTTCTAGAATCTCTGATGATTTTTAAATATGGAATGGAATATTGTGATCCCGATAATACTCCATGGCTTCTTCTTTAAATGAATTAGGCTTTACGGTTTGTCACCCATCTTTACTTTGGATGTCTGAAAAAGCGCGCAAAAAAGCATCGAGATTACATCTCTCTGTCTGTGTAATTTTAAATTATCTTCACGTGTCACACAATCACAGTTCAACTTACCATATAAATGCCAACAATTAAACCAAACAATCCTATAGCAGAACCGAAAATCTCGACTATGAGAATCTTTACGAATAGAGTAGAGTTTGCCGCGTCCGCAAGAGCTGCACCAGAGCCTACAATGCCAACGGCCATGCCGCAGAAGAGATTGACCAGTCCGACAGAGAGACCAGCTCCGAACATTAAGTATCCCGACAGCCAGTTGTTATTTCTGATCTCCTCGTTATCCATAGCTGTCTCATAAGTGAATTTCTCAAGCATGCCAGACAGAACAATGGCAGTGATCAGACCGTAAATGGCTACAGCCTCACAAAATATCACAGAGATCAAATTCTTAGTCTTGATCCTGGGTGCTTTTACACCCGCACCCACAATAGATACTCCCGTTGTATGAATACCTCTGAAAAGATAAAATTCAACAAGGTAAATAAAATGAAGATTATATAAGTTGGAAGAGATTATAATTTGACATTAGAGAGCCAGTCTACAATGAAGATAGTAATGAAGATACTAATTTTTTGGCGAAGTAACAACGGAAAATGGGCAATTCCCATCTCGCACTGCCTACTGCCTTACTGTCAGCCAATGAAAGACACGTGTTAAAAAATGCGAAATATAATTACTTATATACACAAAACTGAAATAACTCCAAGAACCTTACTTCTCTATACTGTCTACTTCCATTGTAGACAGCCCTTTAGACTATATAAACATGTTACAAACTTACAACGCTGCACCTACTACAGACAAAGCTACTGATAGACCTATGCCCAAGGTAGACCACATGTATGGAGATGTATTTGTCAAAAACCTAAAAAGTGAAAATTATAGAAACTATTAGCTCTCACAGGAGAGATTCAGAACTTTTTATATATAAAGAATTTAATAGAGATAAGAGTCAGTAAGAGTTAGTGTGTGTGATAAGATAAAAAATATATAAAGTTTTACGTACCATGCAATACTAATTTGCTCTCCCTTGCCGGTAAACACATAATACAAAACTGCAATTTAAAAAATGTCACATTTAAATAGCTCGGTAAAATTTACAGATTTTGACGTTTCGTGTCAAGACCGTTCTCCGCCCACATTGAATAATGTACCGTTCAATTCGGTAAAGTGTTTAGAATTAGTTGAAAATTAGCTTTTCTTCGTCTGTGTCACAATTTATAATTGTTAATATTTTAATAATACATTGTCGCAAAATCTCACCTAAAATAAGGATAGTGGCCGAGGCGGTGATCGCGAACGTGTTGCCCAAAATATATCTTATCGACGCCATGGCTTGTCACGTTCACGTACACAACGCGCGAATTGCACAACAACTTTCCGAATTACGAGCGGCAAAAGCCAAACAATCCGGCGATTTTTTTTCTAACAAATCTTGAATCTCTGCATCAAGAGATTTAGAGAAAATCACACACACCCGTCGATATCATGTGACAACTGCTGACTGATCCTGGTGACCGCCTAGTGATTTTCTCTTGAGAAGGAGGAGAAAAAAATTACACCCCAGAAGCAAAGGCGGTTATCGCACGAGTATACCGAGAGACAAGGTTCTACGGCCGCGTTCATTGCTCGCCGTAAAAAAAAAACACACAATTTTCGTGACGCGATTGGTTGCAAACTGAAGAAAATTACCGGAACCAGAGAGAAGCCTGAGAGCGGCCAGGCCCATAAGAAAATGTGTAATCACTTTTCCGCCCCGTAAACTACCGCATGTCCACGAGTGGTACACATCGGAACTACGCAGCCAGTCCACGAGCGACATGTCGGTGCGCACAGTTTACGGGACGGAAAAGTAATTACACATTCTCTTATGGGCCTGGTCGCTCTCAAACTTCTCTCTGCCGGAACTCTGAATTCGTCGTTCAACAGCCAATCAGCGTTCAATACAAATCTGTCGATAGATCTCGCGATAGCTCGCTCTAAAGGGCGCGTTAATTTAAACAATAATCCGCGCACTTTGGTTTACACACAATTCGAAAATATACTCGCTTATTAAAATATATATATATATATATATTTCAAACCGTTAATGACAGATGACGCGACAAAATCTAAACCGACGTAAATAATCGTCATTTGGAAATTTATTTGGAAATTATTTCTGCTTTGAAAAAAATATCGCACTTTGGCAATCATCGTTACTTTGCGTCAGTTAATTAATTTCCGTTAAATTTCTCGAAAATCATAGCGATTATCTTGATTTTGCGATCAATATTAGAGCAACGAATTTTTTAACAAAATTCTTTTCAAGCTGAGTTGCGCTGATTTACGCGGAAAAGAATCAACGATTCGATTCTCGAACACAAGCCGTATTGTTGCAAATTTCCTAAGAGGGGACAAACATAGACAGAACCTGCAGCCTAATTTTAGATTTCCGTCTCTCACGATTCGCGTCTCCATTTCACGCGACAAGAAAACAGGTCTCGTATGCTAAATGCTATATTAAATAGACCGATCTCTCTCTAATTTGTCTAATTACGGAATGTCTCTGATGAAACAAGGGTAAGCCTCTTTCTCTCTCTCTCTCTCTCTCTTTCTCTACTTATCGATATATAAATTAATTTGTAATGAGTTATCACAGCTTCTCAGACCTCGCGCGTGTCTCATCGGAAAATGCGCACGAGCTCGGACGAAAATTTCTCGGGGACGAGAAATTCCTTCTGTCTCGCGACCGGAATATCGGCTTCTATGTATGTGACCGGAGAGAGCGAGAGTCATCGCTCGTATCTATTTCGGTCTGCGATTATAATTTTACGGCGTTAAATTTAGAGAAATGGAAATGAATATTGCTTGCTGTCGTCTCGTCTGTGGTAAATTAGGGTCAGACCGGAGTGAGTCGCATACGTAATCTAAACGTGCGTATAAAATTCTCGACGGGAGAAATTGACGAGCGACTTTTTTGCGAATCAACGCGATCTCATTTTGCGAAATGTCCGTTGATGACACAACATTTACGTTATCTTGCGACTTGTAACAAACGAACCAACAATTATATGGTTTTTACAGCAGACATGAATGAATACCTTTTATACTTTCAGATTGCATTGACAAATAAATTAGAACGTGTAATCTGGAAGTAAATAGATTTGCGTGATCTTCACCGCACGTGTATGTTTCGCAGAAAAAATGAGATAAGAGATTCGTGTGAATTCTTTACCGCAATATAAATAAATAATATAAATTTACACACAAAACAAAAACTCCATTTAACATCTACTCCAATAAGAAAATTGTAAAAATATTGCACACACAAATGGCATCATGAATGACGACGATTTTGCAACAATTGCACCAAAATGATTCGCCATAACGCAACAGTTTTGTCAAAATAATAATTTGTCAAATTTTTTTTATCAAATTAAAATTTTGTAAATAATATTTGTTCAAAAATTAGAAAAAGATTCTTATTATGCATTTCCATAAGTATGTACATGAATTTAATTTGATTTCTTCATATGCAATTATATTTCTACACGTTTTAAACATTACATAGCTGACATTTTTTTCTCAATTATTCAACAATTTTTTTTTTGTTTTAATTTAATTTTGCAGACATACTGCTAAGACGATTCGCCATGTCGTTATTGTTTTGTCGAAATAGTTTTTGGAAATTTAATTTTGCAAACAGTGTTACAAATATTTTACAAAAGATCAATATTTTTTTACACATCTATTTCTCAATATTTACATAATTGCAAATCGCAATTTTCATGCCAGTAAGATTTTGTCACATAATTTCACAAATGTTTTCCTATCAAGGTATCAGATATCGCATGGAGCTGTTGTCTAATGGAGTTTTTTTGTTCTGTGTGGGTACCGCGACTCCGTTAAATGTTTCTTCTCAATTTTCATAGAAAAATGAGAAAAGCCGTGATCTTAACGAAAATAATTCTCTACGTTAATTGCGTGTATAATGTAGTATATACAGGGTGTCCTGCAACTCGTGACCGTGATTTAAATCACGTATTCCCGACACTCTGTATAACACATGTAACAAATAATATTTACATATGCAATATGTAAATTTCATAGACTTTATATGTCTATGGTAAATTTTAATTTTGCGCAATTCTTTGGCAAATTACAAAACGCAGTTTTCCGCGCGAATTTCCAAAATCTCTCGTGCCAGTCATCCCACATCTAAATTCAATAGTGTGTTTGTTTGATCTGTACTCTGTGTGTGTGATATTTCTAAAAACAAAAACGCACTTCATTTTAATAAATTTAATATATTTTTTTTGTGCTAAATTACAGAAAGATCTCGCTCGACAAGTTTCGCCATGTTGTGCGCGACGTCGTCTCGCAAGAGCCGTTCACCACTCGATTCGCAAATCTGTCCGCCTCGGGCGACAGACGAGGAATGATCGAGATGTTCGTCGACGTGCCCCACGTGACGGGTCTGATAACGAACGATTCTTATCGGGGTAAGAACGAGGCGCAGGCCGCGGAATTGTACGGGGTGTCGCTTCGGGCAACGGCGCAGCCGGACGATGAGCACGCGAACAACGAGACGCGAACGTGTAACATTCTGACGAAAGCACTGTATGCGGCCAATGCCGACGGTAGAGTGTTTCTAGACGCGATCTGCGAACGCGCTAGGCGTTCCTATAATCTGCGTGCTTACGCGAGCTGCCTGCGAGACTGCGAGTGCATGCTGGCGCTTCCTGCGAGTTTCTACGACGACTCCGCGGAGAGCGTCAGGTACTACGTACAGCGTAAAAAGGAATGTCTTCAGCTAGAACGGGAGTGTTCGAGAAAATTCGAACCATCGTCCTCGAAAAAGCACAATAACCGTGGCAGGACGTCGTCTTCTTCCTCCTCCTTCTCTTCCTCTCTTGTTTCTTCTTCCGGTAGCGCGTTGTCGCCGCTGGGGAAACGCACCGTCGCGACGCCCACCGTCGACGGCAAACCCCATACTTATCTCGCGTGCTGTTCGGATAGCGTCGAGCTGCGGTGCGACAAGATCAGAGGTCGGCATCTCGTGGCTACAAGAGACATCAGACCTGGGGCTGTACTCATTGTCGACCGACCGTTTTCCTTTAGCACGGACGCACCGGCTCTCGGCAGAAATTGTTTGCATTGCCATGCCACACTTAAATTAGAAGACAGCGTTAAAATCCCGTGCCGTAATTGCCAAACAGTTAGTAGAGCGCATGATTATATTTTCGCGGCATGCATCCGCCGTAACATCATTCTCTTATCTCTCTCTCTCTCTCTGCTTGTTAGCTTTTTGTATAAATATTGTATATAATTAATTTGCACATATTGTACATATTTATTTGTCATTTTTTCTGTGTGCTACACACTTTGTATTTGCACACAATCGAACCCTCACGTTGCGAAACGCAAAATTTTCCTTCCTTTACGAATTCTGTTTCTCCAGGTGTCCTTTTGCACGGAAACGTGCCGCAGAGAGGCGTGGGAAACGTATCATCGGTACGAGTGTTTGATATTTGATTACTTTCTCGAGGATTTCTTGAGCAACGAGTGTCAAACATCTCGTCTGTTGCTGGCTTACCGCACGACAGTCGCGCAAGCGTTGCGAGGCAGCGCGGAAACAAAGTGCGTCTTGAATCCCGACTTCCTGCGATATCACGCTAACGGCAACGCGACGAATAAGGACGAAGACGTAGACGAGGAATGCGCGGAACTGGGATCGAAGAAGCCGTATCGTCCTCACGATTATCGGACCGTCTTCCAACTGGAGACCCACTGCGCCGATATGGAACCCAGCGCGAATCTCGTCCTAACGATCGAAGCGATTTTCCTCGCGAAGTGTCTGACTCACGTTCTGAAAAAACTGGACGTTATCTGCACGAAGGAAACGTTCGTCTCGATAGCCGTGGCCATGTTGCATCATCTGCAGGCGATCAACTGCAACGCGTACGAAATTGTCGAGAGTGTTTACGACGAGAAAACGCACGTCTGGGAGCCGAGAAACGTCGGCGGTGCGATCTACACCACGGTCAGTCTGGTGAATCACAGCTGCTATCCGAATGTGGTTCGTCATTCTTATCCGAACGGTGAGTGGCCTGTGTTCGAATCGAATTCAACTTCCCGAACGAATTTCCTGAGAGAGAATTGGCGTTTTCATTTCGAATGTATATATGTTTAACGTTTCGAACAATAGCGACTCTTCTTTCGCAGGTGTGGTCGTGGTCAGAGCCACGCGATTCATCGGCAAAGGATGCGAGATGCTCGACTGTTACGGGCCCAACTTTCTCAGCGAGAGCAGATTGGTCAGACGTGAGTTGTTGTGGAAGAAATATCGATTTGTGTGCGGATGCGACGCTTGCACGCAAAACTGGAAATTTCCGCCGTCCGAAACGATCGCACTTTACAAGTGCAGATCGTGTTCGGAACCGATGGATTCCTCGAGCGCGACAGGTGACGCCCAGGTGACGAGCCAGACGTGCGCGAGATGCGGGAAAGTCAACGACGTGAGAAAAATCGCGAAACAGCTTCACAAATCGATTCGGATGAGAGTGAACGCCATCGCTAAGATGTATCAGGGTAATTACCGAGACGCGATGCCTTTGCTGTTCGAGCACGCGCAATTCGTTAACAAACACCTGGCCGAGCCGAACATCGAGAGCGTCAAGACGGGACAGTGCATCGTCCAGTGCTACAATTCTCTCGGCTCCACTTCCGTGCAATAAAAATCCCCTCAACTACGAGCGTCAATTGAACGATTATTTAAATTTTTTTTTCTTTTTATTGTTCGATTCTGTGAAAAATACAATACAATCCGTTAACAACAACGTTTACTTCTGGATCTTCTAGGGAAAAACGTTTCATTACTTGGAGCTTGACTCACCAAAAATGGTTCTTCATTCGTAAAATGGCGTTCTTATTAACGACTAGCATAACACGAGGTGATGCGAGAATCAAACTGAACTTAATCAAGCACCGTAACAATGTGCGCGTGCTCTCGTGTGATACACGATACATTACACAATTCTTCGGAAAAGATTATCCAAAAAAAAAAAAAAAAAAAAAAAGAAAAAGTAAAGTTTCGACAATTTATCGACGTGTGTGTATACATCTGTATGTATAAAAAACGATCGGTAGAAAATCGAGCCCGAACTGCATCGGTCGCGAACCAATTTTTGTTTGTTTTTTTTTGTTTTTTTTTTCTTCTTCAATTTCGGCTGCGCAAATGCATACTCTTTACGGTGTGCAATGTGTTATCGTTTCTTCTCATGCTCGTAAAAGTTAAGTGGAGATACATGTATTTAGGACCATCGCTCGCAAATTGCAACACACACATGTACACATATATATATATATACATATAAATATATATGTATATATATCTTACTTGTATATGAGAAAGATAAGAGTTATGTACAATGTGGTCCTTCATACACATTATGGTAAAGTACATTCTCTTCAACACTTAATTCGTTAAAACACATTAATGTAATACCTATATTTAACTAGACTCCGATGGCGTGCGCGAGCTTTCTAGGCGTTACCACATATACGTCTCTCTGATTTCGCTAATGATGTGACCAGCTTGAGTCAATGCCTGTAAAAACCAAAAAAACAAAAAAATATCAGCAAAAATAATTATCGTTTATAATTAAATAAGCAGAAATAATTATCGTTTGTTACCTTAAGCATATCCGCCGTTTCTTTGCGCTTAACAGCGATGTGCTCGCTTTCGATCAGCAGAGCCTCAGCCTGATCGGATTTGTACAAATGTGTGACGAGTTCACTTTGCAAATTATCTTTTACGTAGTTGACTAGGAAATGCATAACAGCCTTTGGTACACTGTCCTGAATGGACTTTCGTACGATATAAAAGTACGATTTTATAAGTCTCTCTGTGAAACAATAAAAAGTGATTAATAGAGAAAGTAAAATCACGAGGTCAATATTTTTGTTGACGACGTTATACAAAAGAGACAATAATATTATCCTTACCGATAACATCACAATATCGTTTCTCGCGCTCGCTGAATGTCAGAAACGTGTGTATTGGCACAGCGGGGAGCAAGTTAACCGGTTTCTGTTGCGTAGACGACGCTTTTTGTACTTCGGGCGACGGATTCGTAGAATCTAAACTCGAATGTTGTGAGCTATTGCTCTCACGCAGTCTGTGAATCGGAGAATTGTCCAAAGAATTGCTCGATTCCGTTCTGTTTTGCAGTTGCAACAAGCTAGTTAACCGATGATTTTGCTGTCCCTGTTCTTTCTGATCGGAAACAGAGTTCATCTCGTCTTGAAAATTGACCAACTTTCAAACGTAATTTGATATTAGTCGTGGAATATTAGTACGAGAAAAAAATGTATTTTGATATTAGTCACATACAAGAAAAAAAGAAACAACACTAAGCAAAATATATTAAATATGAACTGTAAACGTAGGAATATTATTTACACGTGAGTCATTCTCACGAAAACTTGCCACACAGAAGACAAAATAAATTTCACAGAGAACAACACGAAGCGACGATTATTATTACTTACTGTGTCATGAAGAAGTATAGTATTGGACGATGAAACTAATCGTTTGTTATCCTTCAAGTGATCGTCAGCTTCCTTTAGCAAAGACGACACGAATGCCGCGTCTTTGTGAAAATCGGGATGCTTAGTGTTAATATACGCCAACTCTATCGCGACCAGGTTCTCTACCTTATTTTACAATAAAGCACATTATCAATATGGACGTATAAAAACAAAAAAAAAAAAAAAACATGAATAGAAATAGAACAAATGTTTTAGTTTACCATCGCATTGGTAGCCGGGAGCCGCCTACGCAGCAGCTGCGTAACAACATCGACGAGACGTTCGTGCAGTTTGGGAAAACGCATCATCTCCTCTTGCACCTCGGTGCCGCAGTGTCGTATTATTTTTAGCATCTCCTCGTGCACAAGTTCCACACACTGTAACGAGGGATCCTCTAATTTTCGTATTTGCCGTTTGACCAGCAGCTCGAACGAGACTTCCGGCACGAAGAGAGCTGGCCTAGGACCGGTCGCGTTGAGAATAGCGGTCTGTATGTCGTATTTGGTGAGACCTCCCAACGGATTGATCGATTCCAGAGTTTTGCTAAACGTCTCGTGAAATATGTAACAAATACGAGCGCCGCCGCACAGCTGTGTGAGTTCTATGTTCCGAGCTGTGCCTTCTATCGTGGCGCAATAGCTGTTCGCAAACTTCGTGATAATTTGCAGCAAGGTCTGGCTCTTGTCCTCGATGTCCTCGCCGTACGAATTCAACAAAGCTTGATACTGCGCGATCATCGTATCCACTCGTTTCTGGTTTTTTCAAAAGAAAAACAAAACAAACGTTTTTCTACACAAATTATTTTAAAGATTTTAGCGCGTCATGACATGTCTACTGTTGACATATTACCTTCAATTCCGGCAAACAATCCCTGATGTGTTGCATCAGTAAACGATTGAGAGTTTTTGCCAGAAAAGGAGTCCCGTTTCTGTTGGCCAACGTTGGATATTTACGCTGTAAGAACGTGGCCTCGTCTTTCAGCGCGTCCTTAATACTTTTGTTATTCATTATGTCTTGCTGAGACCGATTAACAACGCCTATAATACCCAGTTTAACTGGAATGACTCTACCGCATAAAATGTCTATAGCGTCAGTTCCTAAAATAAATATCAAAACATATGTTTAACAATATTGCAACATATCCAATATCGCATTCTTCAAAAGAGCAAGGTTCATGTGAATGAAATTTACCGGCGTCCATGAGATCTAATTTCGTAACAACAGCCAATGTTCGACCGCCATCCGGATCAACCTCTTTGCTTAGCTTCAAACTCTCACTCGTGGCCATATCGGTATTGGCAGTGACAACTGCTAAAATGATAGAATTCGGACTACATATGTACTGTAACACGAGTTCGCGTATTTGGCTTTCAATGTCTTCCGGTTGGTCACCTACTGGTACTTTCGTGATACCAGGCAAGTCAATGAGAGTCAGATTAACAACGGTCGTGGAATATATTTTGAGATTAATAGGTTCGGGACATATTCCCTTGTTCGCTCCCGCCATCCTGTCGGTTTCGGCCTCGATCTCTGCCCGAATGTCATTGAAATTCTTGAAGATCTTGTTCTTCGTGTGCAGAAACATTCCCCACTCCTCGAGATCCAAAGTGCCATTTTCCGCGCTTCTGTGCTCTCGATCTTCCTTGGGTGTGTATATAAGTTGCAATATCAACGGACGTCTTGTGACAATACCAGTCCCTCTTGGTAAAAAAGAGCGACCGACTAAACTTTCTATTACAGACGATTTCCCGGAGCTCTGAAACAATGAGAAACATATGTTATCAGAATATGTTCAGTTTTTAAATACAATAAGTTGTATTTATATGTTCAGTTTTTAAATACAATAAGTTGTATTTATATGTTACTAAAAAATAATAACAATTACTAATGACTGCCAAGTGACAATTTTACATCTAATTTTAATCTCATTTAATTGACATCACTCTTTTGTTAATAATTTTTGTGCGCAATAAAATAAAATAGAAATCTTTTTTTGATTTACATATATATATATATATATATTACAAAAGATAAGACTATCTCTCTTGCAACTATATTTGCGATTGCAACAGAATTTAAATTCGCAAACATTTGTGTTTGATCACGCCGTAACCAGAGACAAAGAGAATCGTTGTTTCATTGTTCACGTAATTACAACATTCAAACTATATATTCGAACAATGAGACCGAGGAGACAATCCGTTTCTTACAATTACACTCTCTGCTCTTCCTCGCTCTATTTTGTTTTCCTTTCTCTCTTTCTCCCGCTCAAAGTCTCAGTTACAGACAGACCGTGTCATCTTTCTTCGCGAGAAGAAAGTAATAAATTACAATTCGAACGAAAGGTGGACAGATCTTTGGTTTTTACCGCCAACAACTTTACGTAAAACCAAAAAGGTTTCAGATTCGAGACTAACCTGCGTGCCCAGTACGACGATCTGCGGGAGTTGTAAAACGGTTGCGCCAACGGTATTGAACACGTCCTGGAGTTTGTTTATCACAGGTATCAACGCTTCCATGATGAAGTTGGTTGGATTACAAAGAATATGAATCGATCGAGATGACGGTCGGTCGGTCGGTCGGTCGGTCGGTTGGTCACAAAGCCGGTCCCGAATATAAAAGCACCACCTTGCTCTCTTCGATTGTTGTTTCGGCCGCACAATTTTCTTCCCCACGTGTGTCTTCAACGTTCGCAGGATCTTGGAGAATCTCGCATCGGCCTCGTCCCTACAACGTCGCGAGGACTGGCAATGCCGAAGAATCCGATCGTTTCTTTGGAAATCAACTCCGCAACGTACATCTGATTCCTCACCCTCTTTGCTCTGTTCTCCACACACACACACACAAGGCAAGCAGGCCAGTTCTCTGTAGTCGCGCGCGCGCATGTGTGACGCGTGTAGCGCGCGTCATACATATGTATAGGACATGCATATGTATGTACAGTGATGATTATTGTATGTATTGACACACAAGCGGGAACGGAGGATCCAAGTTGCGCGCCGAACGCTTCGAAGCGCGTCGGCTCGTCTTCGTTTGTTTTTTTTTTTTTTACGAGCGACAAGAACAGAACGATCCTCCCGAAGCGTCTGTAGCGTGACTCGGATTGCCCCAATCAGATTGCGCCATATCCTCTCTCTTGCAACCCCTTTCGCGTACGTTCTTAAACTTGGGTGTGTGTAAACACGTACCGCAAGGAACTCGGGTAATTAAAAAAAATCAAAAAAAAAAAAAATCACGCTAATACGATGAACGCGAATACGAACGCGAGTGCGAACTCCTTGTTGAACAATCTCTTGACGTCTTACAAGAAGTGGATTGTGGCAAATCCGCAATTGCTGTCGGACATCGAGTCAACCGTCAAATGTTTATCCTACTTCGGTTTTGGTTAGAACAACAAACAATCTTGAATTTTTTCATCGCCAGATTATCGTCAGATGTGTAAAAAAAAAAAAAAAACAAAAAAAAACGACAAACTGTGTACGCACAATTTTTATTCTTTTCGCAGGACACTTCGGCAATTCGAGTTTGGCTGTTGAATTGATTTACTCTATGCCAAATTTGATTGTGTTGTGCAATGACTTGCTCATGTACAGCTGCAGGTGCAAGCAACCGAAGATACCGCAGTTCGAATCGAAGATTAAGATCTGGCTTACTGTGGTGGAATACACCGAGACGTTGCTCGAAGTATCGGCCGAGAAGTTGTGGGGCACGGTCGGAAAGTGGTTGATAATTGTAGTTGTACAATTGTTCAAGTGAGTTCTGTTGTACGCGTTCTTTTTTTTTTGCAACACAAATGTGTCTGTGCAATATTTCGAGTCTTCCAACAAATGATATTTATATATATGTATATGTGTGTATTTTGCTTTACAGAACCATATTGAAACTATTGTTACTCCACTTTTACAAAGAACGTGTGATCAAAAGTCCCGCGACACCGCCCCTTAATAGAGAAAAGTTCAACAAGGACATTGAGAATGAAGAAGGAAATTTGAAGGAAGGTTTCGTTCTGAAAAGATCCGGCATTGTTGTAAGAAGTGTGAAGCATTCGGCTCCTCCACAGGTGCGAACGTGGAAAGCTCTGTCGCCTGATATAAATAAAAATGAGAAATCAGCTAAGAATCAAAACTTTGACAGAAATCTCATGCTGGCTGAGGTAAAGAAATCACTTCGTGTTCCATCTTGTGTGTTTAATGTAATTTTATTAATAATACAACTGTCTCACAACGGAGTGAAAACAAATTTCTAAAAAGATGTGATTTATTTTATACAGAATCTTTATGTGATAAAACCGTTGCTTCATCTCGGAAGCATGTACATGACTGATGAGAAACATTGGTATCCGTGGACATTGTCATTCATTGTTGACGTAGTTAGGTAAGTAAACAAAAAAAAAATTATACCACGCGTAATTAATAAATTACAATTTTTGTTATTACATAACAACAAAAATCGTAATTTATTAATTATGTTGTTGTTCGCAGTTTGAACATCTTCGCTCGCTGTGCGCTACAAACGATATTCAGTAAGGAAGATGAGGAAGAACTTGTGAGGCGACGATTAAGTTTGTTGTTGTACATCCTAAGATCACCGTTTTACGATAAGTACAGTCGCACCAAAATCAATGCTCTGCTCGATACAATATCTGCCTCCGTGCCTCTCGGCAAGGCACTGACGAACGCCGTTAAAAAGAGCTTGCCGTACATGCAGAATACGTATTTTTATATGTGGTCGCGTTAACGTGCGAACACCAAGCTTACGACACCAGTGCGTAAAAGTTAAACTTGCGAATACACACGTGCGTGTGCGTGTGTGTGTGTATATTAAAAAATGCTGTGAGATATATATTAATCATTCCTTGGATAACATCACGTAGATCCTGATATTTTTGTATTTTATGATATTGATGAGGGATAAGGCCGCGAAGGATGTTTGTTATTATGTGGAATATTTTATTTCAACAAGGTTTTATATAGGAAAAAAAAATATATATATATATATTACCAAAAAGGACACGAAAAATGCTTTGTTTTTAAATTTATTGTTACGCGTAAATTATATATAAACTTCTGACGAAGAAATGGGAGAACATGTTTTTGCGCGGGTTGAGTCACCGCGTGTCTCAACCCGCGCTCGAACTGACGAAAAAAAAAGAACTATTAAGATCGCAAACAAAAAAAAAGATACCGCTAACGCGCGTCCCTTCCTATATTTTTAATGATCTTTTTTTAACAACGTTTCGAACGCAACAGCCTTGGAAATCTTTTTTGTTATTTCTTGTGCGCGTTTGCGTCAGAAAATCAAGAGGCAATTTAGCGCCAAGTTCTAAAACAATGGTTTTTGCAACATTGTTGTGAAAAAAAAAAGTATGCGGAATATACGAATGAAATCATCGACGCGTGATTCACGACCTGCTCGCATCGGTGAGTTCTGATTATTGACCTTCATCGCTCATTTGTCATATGCGAGACGGTGGCCTTGCTCGTCGTTCTCGGCGAAACGCTATTTACGATCCGGGAATACCAACCGGGTTGCGCGATTACCGTTGCGCACGTGCGGATTTATTACACACATGCACGTACGTACGTACAATATATACGTACGTAATTATAATCGGAAGCAATTTGTTCCGATCTTTTTTTTTCTTTTACGCTGTGCCAGATATTTTGCACATGATAACTCGATATGCCGTAGACAAGAACCACCGCGTGAAAGGTCATGCATTATATTTCATCCGGTAGGATGTGCGCGAGCTAATATGCTTCTCTCTCAAAAGTTATACGACAAACGGAAACGATTGACCGCGTCGCAGAGCGTTGAATACGTTTATGCGTATGATGGATATACATATATATAAGTGTGTAAGCCGGTTTTTCCGCGTTTATTTTGCATATTGGTTTCGTAGTTTACGCGAACGCTTAGAAACTCGCTCGCTCTGTTCTCTTGCAATCGATCTGAAATGAACGTTTTGTTGTTCGCGCTCTCATCGTGCCAGCTGCTGCAGCATGCGCTCGTTTTTGCCCAAGTCACATTTGACACCACCATGGCAGCAAGTACGTTAAAACACGCTAAGTACATATTATGAGAAAAAATTTGATTTTTGTGATGTGAAACAATTTTACTTCTCAACTGATTAAAATAACAAGTAATTTTTTAACGATACTTGAAACACAGTACACAGATTGTTTAATTGTATCTCATCTTTTTAATTCAAAGGACTTCCGCGTAGGACGAGAAAGATGATTTGAAAAAGAGTGTGCGTTTAAATTTTCTAATTTAAATTATTCGATAAAAATTGTTTGCAGCCACCAGAGCGGCCGGACAATGTCAGTGTTATCCCGGAGGCACCTGTCCATCGGGTACTGGCGGCATCGACGTCAGAATTGTGAATCAAGTAAATTGATTTTTTTTATTAATACGACAAACACAAAAAAAAAAGATTCTTAGATACCTTCTCGCAAGATATTACACTTACATCGGTAGCAAAATTTGTTGCAACAAATCGAAATATAATTGTTGTGCTAACAGAGACCCATTCCGTGCTTTTTCAGGGAACGCTTTCGTGCCCAAGCGGATACGTGTTGTGTTGCAACACAGGTGGCGGCATAAACGACGCTTCCTGCGGCGTTCGAAAAATCGCACCCTCTCCGCACCCGGTGGGTCAAGCAGCTTATGGCGCGTATCCTTGGCAAGTGGCTCTTTTGACTTCCAACAACGGTTACATCGGAGGTGGAGTGCTCATCACTCCGACGCACGTTCTTACTGTTGCTCATAAAGTATATAATGTGTAAGTGTCGTCACATTTTGCGCAACGAACGTTGTCTTGAAAGGAGACTTGCAAATTATAAATGTTTTTTTATGTAATTGTCGCTAAAATATTCTGGGGGATGGAATGTATAAATTTTATTCTCTCGCTCTTTGCGCTTATCGGATTGGTTGTTGCAGAACCGCAATCAAAGCGAGACTGGGCGCCTGGGATCTTCAATCCACCACCGAGGGACATGTAGACATTGCTGTCTCAAGAATTACTGTGCACCCTGACTTCAACAAGCCGGTTTATCTCGCAAATGATATAGCGGTGCTTAAACTAAGTTCGGCCGCTCCGATCGCAACTAACAACAACGTCAACACGGTGTGCGTACCGTCAAGCGCGATCGCAGCTGGAACAAAGTATAAAACAACATAGTGTTCAAACGTTTGTGTGACACTTTCTTGATCTAACTAAATATTGTAACATTTCTAATATTGCGCAGATGTGAGGTGGCCGGTTGGGGAAAAGATGCGTTTGCAACTGGACAGTATCAAAATATTCTGAAACAGGTGGACGTATCTGTGGTGAGTCTAGCGGATTGCCAAACGGCACTTCGCAAGACGAGACTCTCCGGTTTCTTCAATCTGGACAGTAGTTTTATGTGCGCCGGCGGAGAAGCGGGCAAAGACGCGTGCACCGTAAGAGAATATAAATTTGTTTTGTTGCGCGTTAAAAATAAACATTCTTATAATTTGAAACATAAAATGTTGTTTAAATTGATTTAGCATTATTTTCGATATGGCGCATTGTAATTGTATTAATTTTTGTTAAAGGGCGACGGAGGATCGGCACTAGTGTGTTCAGTAAACGGTGGAGCGTACCAAGCTGTTGGTCTGGTAGCATGGGGTATCGGTTGCGCGGATAGCGGCGTACCTGGTGTATATGTCGACGTATCCCGTTTCTTTCCTTGGATCACGCAACAACTGACGTAACACAAAGACGTTCACAAAGAAAAGGAAATTAAAAACCAAGTATTTTAATTACTTTCTTTTTTCGTTCTTTCTCTTCTCTTCATACATGCGACTTCTTTTTTATATGTGACATGTAGAAATTGATAGAAATCTGCCACCGTAAGTGTCAGGAAGTAATGTTTTAATTTTTATGAGTTTATTATAAAAAATAAAAAAATATCACGAACAAAAAATACAAAAAGAAATAAAAGAGAGATGATTGTATTGTTAACTTAATATTGTTTTATTGTAAATCCGTGTTGAGAAATGCCTGCGTATAAAGTAAGAAAATTTTTGAGACTAATATTACAGGAAAAATCAAACATCAACATGTTTCTAACAACATTGTCCATAATACAAGTATTTATGTGTACAATATTTAACACACATAAGCAAAAACAATTCGAGGTTTGTCATTTTTTGTTTTTTTTTCGTTATTAACTAAAAGAAATACAGTAAAAATATACAGACTTAATATTTGAGAATTTAGGAAAGCGTGTTTATAATATAGATACAAGAGATTTGGTACTCTTCACTTACAAATTTATCCTTATTTGCTATGAGATTTAAACAAATTATTAAACTTAAATTACAATTTTCTATATATTTTGTATGATGATATTATAATATACTATATACGTGTATATTATGCATTAAATTAATTGCAAAGGTAACGAAACCTTTCGCAATTCTTCAAAAGAATCTAAGTATTAAATTACATATATAAATTTATGATCTAT